AAAAAAAACTACAGGGGGGGGTCAAATTCCCCCCCCCCCAGCGGGAATAGGGTTAAATGAAATATATAAGCTTAAAAGAATTGTAGAAGCTTAAAAGAATTATAGAAGCTTAAAAGAATAATAGAAGCTTAAAAGAATTATAGAGGACTAATTCAATTCAATAACTCAAAGTGTAATATTTTTTACAAGGTTAATAACAATTTTTATTAAAATTATACAATTTTTTTTATTGTCCTTAGTACCTTATGTGTATGTCCTAGAAGTTGGATTTCAACATCACTGGGGCGCAATCGCCAAACCAAACCAGCTGTGTGCCACGTAGTCCCTGTAATACTTGTTTCAGAACAGCGCATGAATAGCACAAAATTCTTTTTATTTGCTTCAGCAATCATTGTATTAATTTTCACAAAACAAAATATGAAGTATATCTGAATTAGATTTTATTTAAGTAACAAAATTTTCCAAAATTTCAAATTTAAAAATTTGAAATTTAAAAATTTGAAATTCAAATATTTGAAATTTGAAAGTGTAGTGCAAAATATGATGTAAAACAAAAACTGTGACGAAGTGTGTGCTTAAAGTTATGCATTTTTATTTCATGCATATTTATAAAAATTTAAACTTGAAAATAAAAAAACGTTATACCAGTACATAAAAAACGATTCCTTTCTTTTAAAATTGTATGATTGGTGTATACCTGCTGTAAGCATGTCTTTTTCTAGCAGTACAGTGTTTGTGACTCCCATCTTAGCCAGGTGGTACAAGGTTTGGCAGCCCAAGCTACCGCCTAAGTAGCAAATACAATAAGACCCATAAATAGTGTAATTGGAAGACGACATTTAAGCAACCTTATGTGATTTATTTTGTTTTAAATCATATTGTTCTACAATGAATTGGGTTTGTACAATCTGCACAATTCCAGTGTTTTATGTTAATTTGACCATTTCAAATCATAACTTGATTCTTACAGTAGTTCTCCTGTATCACAGTTGTATAGGTCTTACTGCCCATTTTAATTTTATGTAACAAGTCAAGGGATAAATGGAGTAAATGGAAATATTTACTTCTACTGAAACTATGGTGGGCTATGGCAACTTAGTTTTAGATTTAGTCGGAATTTTAACTTTTCAATGTCAATTAAGTCCAAATGAATAAATTCACAAAAAATGTTCCTTGCATGAATCAAAAAAAACTCTAAAATCGCCTCGGTTAAAAACTAACAATTAAAAATTATCAACGTTTAGATAAAAAAGCACGGAGTTCTTCATTTTTTAAATCTAACAAAGATTAAACAAGTTAAATTGTGAATACAAATCTTTTATTGAGCTGGAGAAGAAAGATACATATTTAGATATCTAATGATGTAATGTATAATGTATCGCAATAGGTGCTAATTTAGAAATGCAGTTCTGGTTTTCTTTGTTTTTCAATCTCAAAATGAGTAATCATGAATATTATTAAATAAACAAGGAAAATTAGATTAGATTTAAGAAACGCAGGTAAGAATTTGTATTTGTTTCAAGGCTTCCATATTTATATCTGCCATGACGTCATTGGCTAATACAAAATATTTGAAACTAAATTTGTGTTTTGTGCATGAAGTATAGTTTTCTTATAATTGAAAGCTGAATTTTAGGCCAGTTAAGTGAGCAAGGCCCCCCCAAAAAAAACCTTGCAGCTTGAAGGAGCCAAAAAATTGCAAACCAAACGTTGCAATCTGTTTTAAGATAAATTTTATCTTCAAAGATAATAAAGTTTTTTTGTGAGACTTATTCCTAAACAGTTCTGAAATCTTTTTAAATTATAAAAAACGACATTGTGTGGCTTCTTAATTAAACCTATTAAGGCGCCTGGTTTTGCGTGTAAATTACAATGCCTACTCTTTATATTACAAAGCTCTTCATCATCATCATCCAATTAGAATCCGGAAATCAGTGCCAAACAGTAAAATAAATGTTTACTTCTACTTCTTCTAGAAACCTTTATATCACCAAGCTGCTGGTGTAATAAACGGTGCTAATATTAACTTTTACTCTGATGGTTGTGACACTTCTGAGAGAATTCTTTTTTCTCATTTTGTAAATATAAAAATGGAAAAAAAACATAAAAAATAAAGAAAAATACAGATGTGTGTCAAAAAGAAAGTTTTAATCTATGCAACAAAATAATATGTAACCTTTGCCGTGCACTCAGTTTCTACCCCCCAAAAAAGTGAGGATATCTCAGTCATTGATTATCAGACATAATTGAGAATCAGACCGGACATGCCAGAGTTACTTTAAATTAGGTTGAAAGTCCCTTAAACTCAGGATTAAAACTCCGAATTAAAACTCAGGATTAGCGAGAAAAAAATTCAAATCAACGATTTGTGCTTTTACTCAAATAGTAAATAGAACCTCTTTATATTCTCAGTAACCACATTAGTTGTCTTTCTCATAACGAAACAATTGTTTTTATTTTGTGCTTTTACTCAAATAGTAAATAGAACCTCTTTATATTCTCAGTAACCACATTAGTTGTCTTTCTCATAACGAAACAATTGTTTTTATTTTGTGCTTTTACTCAAATAGTAAATAGAACCTCTTTATATTCTCAGTAACCACAATAGTTGTCTTTCTCAAATCGAGACAATTGTTTTTATTTTTAACAACCCCCACTTGGAGTAGAGTAAATCCAGTTCATTTTAAATACCTATTATACCGACATTTAGGTAGCAGGGGCAAATTGTTTAAAGTGTACATAACTAACTCAGGGGACGGAAACGTCATGTGTGTGTGTCTGTACCAAAAGAGTGTGTGTAAAGTTTACCGAACCGAAGGCGTGTACTTAAGGGATATACAGTACATACGAATCTCGGTATTTGTACAGTCTAAGAGAGTACATTTGTTTATTGTTAATTGTTACTTAAAAATAAGTTTAGTATACATGTAGTATATCATTTATATATTTAAGTCAACACTATAAGCCAAATTTGCATGCAAAGAATATAATTTGATTAAAGTTTACAATACACTAGTCGTTATTCAAGCTTAATTATAATTGACAACATTGTTCTGCAATTTCCTTGACTGTAGTCATGTTGTGTGTCTGTACCAAAAAAAGTGTGTGTAAGGTTTACCGAACTTGTCTGCAAAGCAGTGCGACTGGCTTTCTCATGCCAAACCAGCGCCATTTCCTTTCCCTTTATTCCTATTCCCTGAACTAACTACACATGTACAACTACATTGTATACCATGCACAAATGTTCCCCTAAATATTACCTCCGATAATGACAACATCGGCAGTCGCTGGGAGACTTATCATTTTAGTTTCTTCTTTTTCTATTTTAGAACTATACCGTCGCACCAGTTCATTCTAGAAAGGAATAATCAAAAATAATTATAAAAAAAAACTACCTGAAGTACTCTAAGATTTAGGTAATTTTGAACTATTTATAGAATTTTAGAAATATCTAAAAAATCTCAATATTTCTAAAATACTGTTCTTTGACAGCTTTGAAAATAAATTGTATCCAATGAGAGACCACCACAATTTGCCAACAAATGAAGAATTTGTTGTCGGCCATTTTGTAAACAAATAGGTAAAGAAAAATATTTAAAAATACGTTTGAGATTCTTTTTTAACTAATTTTAACTAAAGTATTATTAAATAAATGGGTGAGATATTAAGTGAAGGCCCTTCCAGTCAAGAAAACGAACAAATCTGGCGATCATAGAATCCAATTTGTTGATCTAACTAATTAATTTCGAGACATAACCTAATCTCGAGATTATGTTAGCCTCGAGATTAGCAAATGAGAGTATAAGCATTAACCCTGATATCCACCATTCTAAGGTTCCCAGCTCCGATGCACATACACCTTAGTGTTAGATATTTTGAACTACGAATTCTTTTATATCAAATTAATCTTGCTTTAAAATATCAACGGAAGTGTGTCAAATCTTCATAAACATCTCTACCCTACTGCAGTTCACCTAGGGCTGGGCGTCGTTACTGGGGAAAAATAGTTCTTTCACAAGAACAAATGGAACTATCAAGAAAGATCGTATTGTTCAGAGAATAGAACGGAATGCTTAGAACGCTTTCTTAAAAATATTGGAACGATTAGTAAAAGAACGAAACGAAACAGAAATTGTTTGAAAAGAACGTCTAAAATCAGGAACAAGTTCTTATTATCAAGAACGCCTTCTAAGTCGGGATTGCATTTTAAATCAGGAATGTGTTCTAAATCATCTCGAAATAATTATACATTTTAAGGATCACAAAAAATACATATTGCACTGCCCAGAAATTATCTAAGCTTATCCTTTAACCCTAAATATAAAACACATAATTTAAGTATATGTTCGGCCGTGAGAAACTTTTTATTAGAAAATCGTCATTTTTTACTTTTTAACAACTTCTTTTCTACAAAACTTTTGTCTTGCACACCTCTAAAGTAAACCCCCCCCTCGCCCCCTTCCCGTTCCTGCTTTTTTTGACTAGGAACTAAACGGGGGATGGGAACTTTCTTGAATAAGAACGGAAATGGGGGATGGAACCGTTCTTCAACTATAAGAACACCAAGAACGGATTGGAACGAGCTGATCATTCTTCGACTTTGAAGGAAATGGAACAGGACAGAACGAAACGAGAATGGAACGATTGAAAAAAAAGGATCGAGAACAGAATGATCTAGCTAAATGGCTTAATTTTAGAACGGATGAAACAACTTTAAAAAAGTCGGAACGTGCCCAACCCTAAGTTCACCCACTTAAAGATCAACTATGCCACCAGGAGCAGTATCATGGCAATTATGCCAGGACAGAAAAATATGCAATTCCATATATTCAGAGAACCAAATATATATTTGTATTATTTGTGAATGATATTTAATTTAATCTCAATAAATCTTCATTTATTTATTCTATTCCTATCTTATGCATCAAAAAAAAATTTAAAAATCCTTTAAATTTCTATTTATGAAGAGTCAAAAAACTAGAGGGGAGAGGCTCCCCCCCCCCCCCCCCCCCCAGCCTGTTTAGGGTTAAGAGCTCCAGGTCGTCATCGTTGTTTCATCTTTTGTGGGTAATAAATTGAAAACCTACAAAAATTGTCGAATGTTTACAGTCAACATCATCGAATTCTCTTTAAATAAAGAAAGAAAATCTAAAAATCGTCAATTTCATAAAATTCAAATTATCTACACAAAGCCACCCCTTAGAAATACGATCACTCTATATACAAATGTTCAGTGTCAGATACGTATGCATATCGTGATGTATACAGCCGACCACGCTATTAATAAATTGATAGGGAGGTCGGTTGTGTACATCTGAGCTAAGCTTCACCTCTTCGTTTTATTACTCTATTGAGTACTGTGTCTGCAGGGTACCGTAAATTTAAGAAAAATTCATTTGTTTGCAGAACTTCAGAAGCTAAATTTGCTTATTTCCCAGGGCGAAATAAATTTTAATTTTGAAGAGGTTTCATCGGAAAACAATATGTTTTCCAGGTTTTCATCTTCCTAGTAGAATTCAGATTATTTAATATTATTCACAGGGATTCTACAGGAATTTCATGCCGGATTCATAACTGCACCCTTTACACCTTTATCTGATAAAGATAGTGTTCAATCCTAGCAATCTTTTCAGGGTACTGTTGTAAATCGGACATGTAGCTCTACAACGGGAAACTCACAAGAAAATATTTCTTGAATCTCTTGAATCATTGAAGCATGCCGATGTTTTTATTCTTTAAAATTATAAACATTTTTAGATAAGATACATTCTCTGTATCAGAAATGAAGAATAATCTCCTAGTAAAGTATAATTAAGTAAATTGAGGTAATTGAGGTTCATTTGTCTTTTCTTATCAAATATTTTGAAAAATTAAAATCAAAACCCTTAGCGACCATCGGATGTCTATAACATCAGGTTGCAAAGACTTTAAGATGATAAAATAAGAGTTTTGAGGCGAGTAATCAGTTCCTGTGTGTGCGTATAGAATAGGGCGAAATTCTTAAGAATTTCTCCAATATTAAATTGAACAGGTCAGGGTATTTTTAGTAATAATCGAACTGATCTAGTTCCATAGAGGTTTAACAATCAAACAGTGGAACGAGTGTTGTCTTCATACTTTCTTTAAATAAGAAGTGTCGCTATGGATTTGTATTTAGTATTTTTCTAAAACTGTGGCCCCGACAATTTTGCAGAGATTAGTGATTTTTAATAGTTACTAATTCATTCTTTGCAGCATGGATTTTTCAATCAAATGATGAAGACGAAAACTGGTTCCACTTCATTTTGTTATGTCAGTATTTTGCTAATGTTTTTAGGAATTGCGTTTTCAGTGGTTTTTTTATCATTGTTTCCGTATTTGTCAGTAAATATTTACAGTTTTTACAGAGGCGGATCGGATACAGGATTTAAGTGAGATGGGGGCTAAATAATCCAGATTTAGGAACCAAAAGACGCGCCATAAGCGATTTTTTTTTTTACTTTTCTGTTTTTAACTAGGTTTTCTGTCCCTTAAGTGCTATTGAGAAGTTATTCTGAAATCTCAGGGGAGTGCAAAATTCCTGCCGCCCCCTCTCTGTATCCGCCCCTGGTTTTGTAGTTTTGAAGAAGATTGAAATGCGCTTACCAAAGGGAAAGATTGTCTTCTGAAAGGTTTGATGCCGCGACATATTCTAGAACTGGGACTTAAACCTGCCATTTTTTAGCCAGGGTTTAGTTCACTGAAGGTTTTGCTCCGTGATATCAAGTAACTCTGAAAACAATGAATAAGTAGATTAACACTAACATACAGTGAAACCCCTAATAACGAAAACATCGGAAGAATTTATCAAATGTCGTCTTGACAATTTTTCAGTGAGTTTTATACTATATTTCGTAATTTTCAGTATTTGCGAGAAAAAAATAAATATGCGGGAACAGTTTTAAAGAGTTCCATATAATCATTTAATTAAAAAACTAAATATCTGCAACATTCCATTATCAGAAAGTGAAGAATTTGATCAATTCTTTCGATGTATTTTATAACAAGGGTTTCACTTTACATAAGTGTTTTTGCAGTTTTCAGTTAAAAACATGCTATCCACATAAAGACATTATTTAAGATGGAATAATAGACATCGGTCGGTATGAAATTATCTTATAACCTAATAAATTTCAAGCAAATCTTTACAATTCTATAGGACAAACATGACAATTGAGAGAATTAAAGGTCGTCTTTAAACTTTGATACAATTTGAGGCATTTTCTAAAAAATTAATTTAAATTATTTAATTAATTAGAAAAACAAATAGGCAGAGGCAATGAACTTGCAACATCTGGTATGACCCACAGTTAAACCCGTTCAGAAAGTGATTTGAACTCAAACTAATTTGTAGGTTTATAAAATGAATTTAGGGTCAGAAAGTTAGAAAATACTTGTTTCAGGAGACAAAACAAAGAAATCTATAAAAGCTGCAGAGCCGCGAAAAAATCAGGTTTTCTCATTTTTTATATTCAATACTTTTATTTAAGAAAAAGTTTAGACTTTACACACAAAAGGACTGTCGTAAATGTGATTTTATAGACAGAGCTTTTAGGGTACCGTTGTGAATCGTGAATGTCACTCTATAAACGAATTGTAGCTTTGAATTACGTCTACAATCCCGTTGAACAACCAAATATCAAGAAAAGATAAAGAAAAGTTTCACCGCAATTCCCTGAATATCCCATTTATCAAAAACGTTAGATCTAATTAGCTTAAAAACCTTGTAATTCTAAGCTAGCGTTCAAAATAATTTAAAGGGAAGTTTTTTTTACTTTACAGCTGCTGGTCCAATTTTACTTTTATCAGTAATGAAAACTGTCGGGAATTCTTTTTAATCGTTTTTTGGCTTCTTTTATAGAGGCTTTACAATTAATCATTTAATTTAATACATTTCAAAATGATCTTTTCTTTACTTCCTTCTGACATAAAACCTGCCAGCCTTTCCACTTTAATTTGTGCTTATTCGCTTTATTCCTAATTAAATATATTGGTGTAAATACATAAAGAGGGTATAAATGTACCAACGATATAGCCAAGCCCCCAACCTCCACCCCGCCCCCCCTCCCTCCCCAATTCCAGTTAGTTTAGAATGGTAACATAGTAACATCTTTAACGTCTGTATGAAACTGACCAAACCAGACCCAAATAATATAACCTGATATAGCTAGAAGATAGTTATCTAAATGCGTAATTTATATTTTCCATTTCATAAACATTAAATAAGAAAAGGGGATTATTTTGAATACAAGGAATACATTGAATTTAAAACAAAATTTAGAGAAGTTTTCTATTTATTTTTTGTTTTCTTCGAAATCTCCCTTTCATTGCATTTATTTTTTTTCTATCATAATTATAGGCGTTTACTTTAAACTTAAAATCTGTGAAAATTTTTAATTAAAAGATTATTTATTTACATAATCCTAGGTCAATGTTTCCTATATCTGAGGATTTTTTTGAATAAAAAATTTCAAAAATCTTAACGGCAAGTTTGTTTAATAAGATTTCTTACTCTCGATGCGCTCCAATGTATGGAAAATTTCTTTTCCTAAACATCGGACGACATTTTCTGTTCATTGGAGTCGAAACTCGAAAGTAAGCAACCATATTGAACAACCTTGATTAAAGGTGATACTAGAAATAAAAATTTAAAAGAAGTTTTACGAAATAAGTTAGCAATTTGATGGATAAACAGTTAAAAGTTAGAAAGTTAGGAAGATACTAAGCTGGGTAGTTAGAAAGTTAGATATACACTACAGGGTGTCCCAATAAACATGGGAATTCAGTGACATATTCGATATCGTCTTTGTTATCAATTAGCATTGTAATACCTGATTTCAAAAACCATAATATTATTATGTCTAATAGAGTTTATTTATGAAAACGGCAAATGGCTGTAAAGGTGTGTCTATAATGTCTCTGTATACTGTAACTTTCTTGTTTTACTAAGTACAACCGTAAGCAGTCAAAACATAAACAACCAAATTGTAAACATAGTAGACGAAACTCTTATGGATCATAGCTTTCTCAGTAGGTATCACTATACTAAATCTAAGATTTATTTAAAAATACGAAACATTCGTCACTGAATTCCAATGTTTATTGGGGGACCCTGTAATTTAACAGTTAAGAAGTTAGAAGGAGTTAAAAAGTTAGAAAGTAAGAAAAGAATCTGAGACTCTAATTACATAAAAACGTTTAGTTGTTCGTTCATATGAACGTTTTAATAAACAAAACGTTCGCTTTAAGTCTTAAATGCTCGAAATTGCTAGCACAAAACCTAACATTAAGAAAGAAAAAGAAATAATGATAAGATATTCTTTAAAAGTATTTACAATGTTAGAGGAAAGGTTTAAATCCCGTTTTATTGAAACTAAAGAACATTATCATTTGCTTTCTTTTTATCAAGTCTTGTTAGCTTTCATTTACTAGAGCTTTCAAATGTTTATAATGCGACGGAATGATAACTGTTATGAAACTTTTTTTAGTTGAAAAATAATACTGTAACAGTTTTTAAAATGCTAAATTTATCATTATTTAGTTGTTAGCGTGCAACTTTTTATGGTTTTTGGACAAAATACGTTTAATTAATTATGGTTTAATATACAAAGGAATTAAGCTGTTTCCACTAACTCAAATTTTCTCGAATCCCTTTATCTTTGAAGCCTGGTGGTGTAAACTTTGATGATTTTATCTAACAAAATTAAAAGTATGAAATATCTAAGGTCTACGACATTGGGTTGCAAAGATAAAAGGATTGATATTTATCGCTGATTTATTTCTAAATTATCCACCGACAAACGACTTCCATATATTAATTATATCACAATCACAACTTACGAAAACATTTGCTCTATTTCGTAATCAAAAGAAAGACCAAGGACGACAATCAATGCATAAATGTCTAGTTTTCTATTAAATAAATAAAACATAATCATTCGAGTCTGGTTTTGGCATCTTGACACTTGACAGAGGATTATTTTATTTTTCTTACTGTCCAACTGTTCGTTATGATTATTTTTCCGCTGGTTAGTTCTCGTTTTGAGACACAGACGGATCCACTTAATTTTTTTCTGCTTCATGTGAAAATAAAAAGAAGAATTGAAATTGGAGCTTTAGTTAAAAATATCTCTTCATTTACTTATTCTACTAGGGTATAAGTGTGCTTCGCGCCCATCTTTTATTAACATGCAATGTATAAAGCTTTTCAAGCAGCTATTTTTTCTTATTCATAATTGTAAAACTAAAAACTTTGCTGACGTTTTAACGTTTATTGGATACAAATAGACAGAAAGACAACAAATAAATTGAGTCTTTTCAACAAACTCTGATTTTCTACTTCATATATATCTTTGCAACTCAATGTCGTAAGGTCTTACTTGTTTCAAACTATGAGTTCTGTTGGATCAAATATTTGCAAGGTTGCAAAGATATGAGGATTAGAACATTTGAATTTGGGGGGGCAAAGACTCATTCTGAATATATACTTTTGTATCCAGCAAATGTCAAAACGGCTGAACCGATCAGGCCCAAATTTTGTGTATGACCACGCATGACCCCTAGGAAGGTTTAAGGATTATCAAAATTTCAAAAATTTGCCCTCAACAAAATTCGATTTACTTAAAATTTGGAAAATCCACGACTTTTCTTGCAACATCCACAAACTTTTTTGGTTTTTGTTTTCTTCAAAGAGAAAAAGTTCAAAATTAAAATAGAAGATGGACGCGAAGCGACCTGATAGCCTGAAACTCTCTCGATATGGAGATAATTGAAAGTTTAGAAAGATTTATTGAAATAAAGTCTGCACTGCAGAAACTTGTGGGAGAACAATCGTTTTTCTTTATTTCGGATTTTGATTAAATAAGTAGATCTACTAGATCACAATGCACCAGTCAGTCCAGCATGCAAAAATAAATAAAAAAGTAATCTTAATAATATAACAGTGGGAGGGGGCGCGTTGCCAACTCCGAGGAAAGATAATTCCCAATTTCTGTGTTCAAAATTGCCAAAATCAACTTAAAATCCCCCATATTTATGGTATACTGAAAACACAGTAAAAAGCGCTTAAAATTGTTTGTGTTATTCTGTTTAAATCTGTTTTTAGTTCTCAGTTTACTGTCATTTCAAGGAGATATCAACAATTTTCAATAATATTTTTCTTATTTTGCATTTTTAAGATCATAACAAAAACATCTCAATTGCGTGTATATTTTGGGGAATTTTGAGAACTAAAACAGAGAATGAGAAAAACTAGAAGAAAAGAACAAATTTCTATTGGAAATATTATCTTCTTTTTATATTAATATATGAATTATAGATATAATACATGATTATATATTTTTTTTTCTGAGCCCAATACGTTTTTTGGAATATATAAATAGATATGTATATATTAGAAAAAAATGTGAACAAAGTTTTTTCGAAGACCTCTTCGCCCAAAATCAAGCAAAAAGATATTCTGAATACCCCAGGTGATACCGAAAGTCCCCTAACAGACAAGTAGATTGATAAGATAGATTTGGGATAATTTCAACAAAAATATGATTGTTTCGTGTTTACTGGTTACGAGGGATTAAAATCTAAAAAAACCACTGCATTTTCGTTGTAAAATGCTTTTATAAGTAAAAGCATATTACGGAAGACAAAATTGGAGCGGACAGGAAGCGATTCGGGTTAACGCTGCGGCTGCCGCAATCTATATTAAGACAGCATTTGCGGAAATAGACATTCGTATACGGCGTGCCTCCCCCCCCCCTAATTCCATTTGTTTTACGGCAACATCGATTTTCATCAAATAAGTTTGAAAGTAAAGTGAAAGACTAAATAGTTTATTCATCAATTGCATCAGTGTGTAAAAGAAATACATCGTACATTCTGATTTGAAATATTTTAAAAGCAATAACAGAATAAATAAATAAATGTGTCAGATTATTAAAAAGTTTTTGCGCGTAAAATCCTGAAATAAATTCTCAACTAGATAAATAAATAAATAAATAAATAAATAAATAAATAGCAGGTTTTTTAATATTTTTTTTGAAAAACAAATACATTTTTTCTTTTTCATGCTCCATACAGTCAAAAAAAGATAAAATATTACTGTTCATAAGTTTTTGGTTGTTAGAGATTGATTACTTTACTAAGACTATGATTGCAGGATCAGGGGCGAATTCAAGGAAGAGGGGCTATCAGGAGTCAGGACCGAGCCCCTGGAAAAATTAATGTTTAAGCCCCTGAAATAGAATCGTCAATATTTAATATTTCTGTTCACAGGTTTGTAAAATAGTTCGTCTTTACAGTCCACAGAATTCAAGGATTGTCTGAAAATATAAAAAAATATAAATTTTACATGTACAACATTGGAGGAAAACAATTGAATTTAAGAACAAATATTTTATTATGGGAACTGCTGGATAAATCAAAAAGTTAATTTTCGTTGAAGAAAATAATTTTAATTTAACTCATTTTTTAATTGATCTCCTGATAATACCTAAAATTATAAAAAGAGCGTTGAGATCTCGAATTTGAGCAGTTTCTACTGGAATCTTTCTAAAGAAAAAACAATGTTTTAAATTCGAAATATCCCACATCATCTAGATTGGACAAACACCAGGCTCGAATATATTTAGAAGACGACATTCTATAAGTCCATTGAAGCCAATGAATTTTTGAAAACCGCGATTTACATAAAAATATTGAAAATTCGAAATTTTCTAGGAATAAAACAATATACAGTGTGTCCCACGAAACATGACAGTTTGAATATGGTTTAAAATGTCTTCTTCCATAATTCTTTTAGTTGTTAGTTACTATAGCGAATGACAATTTTTTATGGCTGTCCTATTATAGTAAAATTGATTTCAAAGTAAAATTAATTTTTACTAAAAGTGTTTTTAAACGAAATAAACTGCAAAAAGTCTTTTATATCTAATACAGCATATGGAAGAAGACATTCAAAACTATTCACCAACTGTTCTGTTTCGTGGGACACCCTGTACTTGCCGAAAACTTATTTGTACTTTAGTTGTATAATGAAGCGTTTTAGATGTTGAAACCATCTAACATTTCATTAGATGGTATAAACGTATAAAGGAAGATTCTTAGTAGTTGAAATCAGGTTGTAATAGGCCGGCTTATATTAGGTTAAATGAATAGATGGGGGCACATAGATTTAGCAAAAAGTCTCATCAATTTTTAGGACAGGGTCGACTTTGAAGTGTCGCCATACCTTGGGCTTTAATTTTAACGCTCTATCTAACTTATACTTTTCTGTATTTCTTTACATGTACATTTTAGCACAGAAAATCACTTGTTGTTTGTTTTGGTTTTGAAGAAGTAATTGGCAAAATTCTTGTCGATTTATGATTGAGAGCTTGCAAGCTTTAAATCACAGTGGGGGAGGGGGGTGCACTACAATATGGAGATGGGGAATATGGGGTACTTCTAGATGGGGATGGGAGGGGGGTACTACCTGTAGACACTGAATTTGAATAATATTGAAGAAAAAATTCCCAACAGCGTTAGATTTCTCAGATCCGACTCTCTTCATCATTAATATTTACTTTCACATGTATGATTCTTGAACTTGAATTGAAATCACAAAATTCACATAGTCCTGGCATTTTCATAATATGGTCCGCCTTCATTGTGCTTTTAATATTACCAGAGATATAAAGAATATCGACCAAAATTGTCTAATTATGAACGAGGAATTTTAATTTTAAAAGCCGTCTTTAAATTGAATTGTTTCGTAGGACACCCTGTAGAAAATGTAGAAATAATAATAAAATGTATTTTCAGCGAAATGTTTAAATAAGTAAATGCCTTGAGACAATTATAAAAACTTGTATCACACTCACAAGCAACCTGTAAAATATTTATTTCAGAGTTGGGTCAAAATAAAGAAAAACAAAATTTACGAATTATTTTAAACCTAATAGACTTAACTGTGATACCATAATTAAATGCAAACTGGTCAAACTTTTTATAGCAATTTAAAGAGCTTCCAAAGACTACAATTTTGGTCTAAGAATAAGTTTGTTATTATTCTTTTTTAGCATAGAACTTTGTAAATCTTTAAATTACCTTAGTGTACGGATGCAAATTAAGAACTCCATATCTAAAAATATTAAGTTTTCTTAAAGGGACCGTTCACTTATTTGGCTAATTTCATGGTGAACTAAATAGCCTATAGTAGCTATTCATTCGTATTATAGTCTTACTTTTCAAAGAAAACTATGGCTAGAGAAATTCAGTGCAAATGTACTATACCTTTGCATAGACACTATTTAAACGTTTTTTCAGTAAACACAGACCAATAAAATATAAAATTATTATATTTCAATGACATAATGTGTAAGCAATTATACGAGGTATGTCCAATAAGTTTTACGAATTTTTTCAAAAGTACTTTTAAACTTCTCGGCCTTTTTTTCAAAGCTCACTGTATCCATCCCGGTTGTTTTCTCCCAACGGGATTTATTCGTAAAACTTTTTAATTCTATGTAATTCACATTTTCCCTGAGGTTGTTTAGCTCTGTTGTCACAGCACAGGAACGTTTTTAATATTTAATACCCACCAGAGAGAAAACACTTGGGATGCTCGATACACAAAATTTGTGCCTAAAAACTTCCCAAATTTAAAGCAGACACCTTTGACATGATCCAAAAAGCATTAGAGGAGAATACTATGGACAAGGCAATATTCTACAAGTGGACTAAAAGGGGAAAAATGTTATGGAGAGTGTTGGCAGAATTGGGTTCTCTGAAACGTAGATTACAAGGACCCTTTCTACAAGAAAGGTTCACGTCTTCCTTTGACTTTTAAAGTTTACTTCACCTCTAGAACACGCATAAATGGGTAAAGTATGGGGTCTATAGATAAAACATTTAGGATGTGACTAGTGAAAAGCTGAGACGTCTAGAAGTACCATTAAAAGATTTTTCGCAAAACTTATTGTGCATCCCTCGTAAATAAAATGTGAAAACTTTTCATTTTAGAATTAGCAAGAAATTAATGTTTTTCATTTTTAAACATAATTTAACATGTGTTTATACAAAGACGACCTTCTCTCTCCGTCAAACCGATTCCTAGATTCCAACTCGGGGATTCCTAGAGAAGAAGGGCAAACTTTGAACAAAATTAAAGATTTTTACAATTAATGATTAGATTCTACAGTTTATTCTAATATTTGAAAATCTAAAAAAAACCATGACTAAGACAAAAAGCATCAAATAGTGTAAATGCTAAGGTACCGAACCTTTTCGCTGTAGTTATGAACGCGAAAATCGACCTTTTCTCCGGCCACAGTTGTCTTTAAAAAGTAAGACTTAATTATACAAATGAGGCTAATATGCTACTTAGTTTACCCTCAAATTATCCAAAAAAGTGAACTGTCCCTTTAAAAGTTGGATTAAATTCGTTCGTTTTTCCTAAAACTTGTAAAGACGAGAATTCATACATTCTTTCGAGATCTCCGGCGTTATAGTACAGGGTGTCCCACATCATATTAGACCGAGAATGGGTCTAAATTACGATTTTCGGGACTAATTAGAAAATTTCATTAGAATGAATCATTTTTAAAAATAACATAAGGCTTATATAAGAATTTTCTTGCGGAAAATGATAAGTTTTTCGAGTATTTTGGTGTTAAAGATTGGAGATAATCTAATATGATATGGGACTCTGTAGGTTTACAATTACCTGCTTTGAAGTGCTTTAACTTTTAAAGGACAGTGGTCATGAGCTCTACAGCAACTAAATCAGAACAAATTATAAAAAAACATTGGTTTGAATGTATCAGCGCAATTTTAGTGTACATTTCATTAACATGTGGTAGGCAATTATACAACTACAATTAAGACGACTTTTTATTAAAGTTTGAATTGCATACAAGCTTTTTTTCAAACTACAAGTTTACAAGTAATCAAAGAAAAACTTCTCTCGAGGGCTTCTCATGTGTTTCCATGCCTATGTGTTTCCATGCAGTTTGAAAGCTATTAATCACAAAAAAATCGGAAACCGTCATTATTGTATTGATGTAATCGACTACCACTGTAAGTTTTACAATTTTAGTACAAATGTACAGGTTCTGTACCGGTGTACTTCATTGCCCTTTACGAACATTAGCAGAATTTATTTACATCAGTACAGTTTATGCAGTACGAACTGCAGTATATTTACCTAGAACAGTTTATTCTGAACGCTAGTTTAGTTCAATTACATTATTACAGTTTCTAAGCATACAAGTTCAAGTACATTTAGATTAAATAGTTTGTGTTCTGGGAGACCTACAAAATTAGATAAAATGCAGACGACATTCCAGTGATCTTATCTGTATTTAATGTTATAAAGCAAAAAGTTTTACTGACAGCATGAAAATTAACTTATGAAATAGGTCTGCGGTACACTGCACAACTCCTGTATTTCAGGTTTGATGTTTGTTGGATGGACAATGTAAAAAACTTGATTCTTCCTATTCCAAAGTCTCAATGAATATAAGTACAGTTTAGGTAAAGTGGTCCGTGATTATATCGATACAATACAACTTCTTTTTAATTAAAATTGAAAGTCGTCTTCGTTATATTGATATATACGACGACGACTGTACACAATGTGTTGACCTGTCAAGTCGAGTAGCTGGTCCTAGGCTATCATAGGTTGGGGCCAAGTCATCATACCCACACCATAGAGTTCCTATTTTAGGTTTTAATAATAAATGATGTGTAATTTTATTTTTCAACCTTAAAGGAACAATATACATAATTTCAAACAGCCATTTATTTTTAGCGTGGCATATCCGATTCACAACGTTACACTTAAAAGCCTTTTTGATCATAAATGCATGAGAGAACTAAAATTTTCTCTTTTTTAAAAATTGATATTTTTTACATTTTTCATTTAAGTGACTTTTAGATTTCTCCATTAGGAAAAGTTTAGGAAATATTGATAGAATTCTACCCTTAGAAAACCAACGACATCTTCCTCATTGTTGATCAGATAAAGATTTAACGGGTACCGTTGTGAATCGAAAATGGCAGTCTAAAACTAAAGTATAACTTAAAATAGCATTACAGATAATTTTTTAATCTTATTCCTGATTTTTGTTGGACGAACAATAACAAATGAAAACATTCGAACAAATTTTTTTGCGCTCCATTCATAAATCCAATTTTAGTCATTACAAGCCGTCATTATTTCATCGTACTCCAATAAGCAAACATATTCGTAAATTTTTCTTTTCAAATTATTCGATTTTCAAACTTCGCAAAAGTAGACTTTTTTACGGCCGAACACCTGAAATAATCTGTTTTCGAGAAAAGAAACACAGGTCGAGGGTGCAAAACGGCCTGTGCTTTGTCAACCCCCCCCCCTTCCGCCTTAAAGAACTTAACAGATAAACTTATGGATAGGAAACTTGAAAATAAATTCAAAGTTTTTTCATTCTAGAATACCTTGACAGAAAGTTTTTTCGATTAGAACTTCTGTAATAGAAAATAAAATGAAAAAGTCTGTAAAGAACAAGAAACAGAACCATAAATCTAAGTAGATTTGTATAGTGTCATTGTTTTCAGTTTATGGGTTTGTACGGTTAAACCAAATTTTATTTTTGGCATAAAATGTCAAAAACAAGAACACCCTCAAATTTTGTTTTTTTATTGATTTTGATAAAACAAATGCTTGAAGATGAAGTAAAAAGAAGTAAAAAAAGGAAAAAAAATGTCTTAAAAAGGAACTTTAGAGCTCTTGAATCCTATAAAAAGAAGTATAAATGATGATGAGCCTTAAGTTGGTTCGTTTATTTTGCCTATATTTTCTTTCAGTGTGAAGTTTGGCCTAGTGAAAGAAAAGCAAACATTTTTACTTTTTTCATTCTAAATATTTTCTTTTTCTTACATTATGTCAAATTTTGAGCCTGACAAGAGTGCCGAGTGGTTTATGCCGACCAACAACAAAATCAAGTAAACACAAATTTTTCAAATAATTCTAAGGACGTAAAACAAATTTTCAAGCAGCCCTATACTTAAAAAAGGAGTGGCATGTCCGATACACAACGATACTCATTAAACCTTAAACTAATTAAAACTGAGGAAGATATCGTTGATTCTCTTGCGTAAAAAGTGTAGTTTTCACAGTATCTTTCATTGTCTCGGCAACATAAAACCGCATCATCAAAATCAAATAGTTAATGTCTATCTTTGTGAATCGAACATCTCATTCTACAAATTGATGGACACTTAAAATAACGTCAGTTTAATGGAGTTTAATGGAGCTTCATGGAGTTTAATGAAATTTAATGGAGTTTATCGGAGCTCAATGGAGTTTAATGGAGCTTTATGGAGTTTATTGGAGCTTAATGGAGTTTAATGTCTAACCTGGTAAAATTCCTCGAAATAGTTTAAAATATTCGTTTTCTCCCATCTCAGTATCCACATCCTTCACACTCTCATCTACAGCCTGATTAGTTGTTAATTTATCACAGAGGTGGTTTTAGGGGGAATATCCACCTCTTTAGAAAATTGATTGACGTCCCCCACGACCCAAGTAATTAGGGGCACGCTCCCCCCTTCCTCCTTAAAAATGTTAATGTCTAGGGCTACAAAAAAGTAAATGTGTTAGTGAGGTAAAATCAAAGGCCAATGCGTTGCGACACTTCAAAGTCGACCCAATCTTGCAAATTGATGCAACTTTTCAAAAGCAGTCAAGATATGTGTAAGGAGGCATTAACCCCCCCCCCCCTCCTCCTAGAACATGTTGGAATAAATCCTACCTTAATCCTACATTCATCAACAACAGCCAACATCGTTGGGAAATCCACTTCTTCAACAACGTACTTTAATCCTTTATCAATATCACAAATCCTTCCAATTCATCCATATTGTATTATTCTTGACCGAGTAAAAACGAGATTCTAAAAATCGCAGAAAATAAAATAAAATCAGAATTAAGAAAAATGTATGTTTTGTGATACTGTTAAATATATAGCAGTGACCTCCTTGCAGAATGTTCAAAAACTAAATTTATATTCAAGAAAAAACTGAAAATGTGCAAATTTTCTTTAAAGGCATTTTTGCAAATAGTTGTGCAAAATTTCTTCGCAATTAGTGTGCAATCTGCTTCATTTTGTTCAAGGCTTTCCAAAGAATTATAACAAGTCGAAATCCAATGATTGGAAGTAGGTCTAAATATAGATTTAGTCGGGTAAAGGTGAAATAAGGCATTTAGGCAGTATGCCTGAAAAATCACCGCTTTAAGCCTAAACTGAGGGGCTCGTGTTAGTTAGATAAGTCAAAAATTTGAACAGCCTCAGGCGAATACTTTTAAAGTAACCTCCAAAAACGTCAGGGGGGCCGGGGCAGCCAGAACATGGTTAAGAAAGGCCCATTCAGTAGGTAAATTAAATTAAAAGTTTTAATTTGACATTAATTTGTGATTTCCTAATCTTTCAAGAATTGTCTCTTTGTTAACCTCGTTGGATTCAGCTAATATTAACTGGCAGTAGTCCAGCGTATTCCCAGGACCATTGAACCGGGCTACAGTACAGTATATAGATGTAATTTTAATATAAGTCCAGCGTATTCACAGGACCATTGAACCGGGCTACAGTACAGTATATAGATGTAATTTTAATATAAGTCCAGCATATTCCCAGGACCATTGAACCGGGCTACAGTACACTATATAGATGTAATATTAATATATGTCCAGCATATTCACAGAACCATTGAACCGGGCTACAGTACAGTATATAGATGTAATTTTAATATAAGTCCAGCGTATTCCCAGAACCATTGAACCGGGCTTCAGTACAGTATATGGATGTAATATTAATACAAGTCCAGCGTATTCCCAGGACTATTGAACCATACTACAGTACACTATATAGATGTAATATTAATATAAGTCCAGCGTATTCCCAGGACCATTGAACCGGCCTACAGTACAGTATATAGATGTAATTTTAATATAAGTCCAGCGTATTCACAGGACCATTGAACCGGGCTACAGTACAGTATATAGATGTAATATTAATATATGTCCAGCATATTCCCAGGACCATTGAACCGGGCTACAGTACAGTATATAAATGTAATTTTAATATGATTCCAGCGTATTCCCAGGACCATTGAACCGGGCTACAGTACAGTATATAGATGTAATATTAATATAAGTCCAGCGTATTCCCAGGACCATTGAACCGGGCTACAATACAGTATATGGATGTAATATTAATACAAGTCCAGCGTATTCCCAGGACTATTGAACCATACTACAGTACACTATATAAACATAATATTAATATAATTTCAGTGTATTGCTAGGACTATTGGTCCGAGTTACAGTACAGTATATAAATATAATATGAACATTAGTCCAGTGTGTTACAAGGGTTTCGAGAAAAATACAAAATTTCGCAAAATATTTCTTTCGTATTTCGCAAATTTTTTTTTAAGAAAATGATTTTTGCCAAAGGAAGTGAAAACAATGCAGAATTTAACGAAACCTAGATAAATGCAAAATTTCGCGAATATTGTTTTAAAAGAAAACTGAATCCATTTCATTTTTTAATATTAAAAAAAAAATTTCATTCGCAGTAGGGAAATTGTTAAAAAATTTAAATAAAAGCATTATCCAAAAAGTCTTAAATTCATTATTAATAATTTAATAAATAAATTAGAAATTATACATCTTAATATTCCTAAAGCTATAGTTTGTTGAAAATGAAGCACTCTTAGGGGCCTTTGCACTAAGTTCAGGCCATCAGATTTTTGATAAGGAAAAATAAAATATGAAACTTAAAAATTTTAATAAACCATTTTTTAGAATTATATTATTTGATTGGCAATAAATTTCCTCAGTTTTTTCCCCTCTGGTTTTCCATTAGTTTTCTAGCCCATGAACAAACAAAAAAGAAATGCATCCTTCTTATTTTTAATTAACCTACAGGGTGTCCCACATCATCTTAGATCGTGTATAGCTCAAAATTGTGATTTCAGGGACTAATCAGAAAATTTAAAAACAATGAATAATATTTAAAAATGTAAAAAAAGGTTTTTTGAGTATTATGTGCGTATTTGGCATTAAAGCTTGGAGATAATCTAATATGATATGGGACGCTCTGTAGCAAATCAGTCTCCTTTTCAAAGTATTTCTTGTGCTTAATTTTGATTTAATACATGATTTTTCTATCTAAATTCTAAATATAATTATAAATGAAAATGCAAAAATTCTAGTTTGTTTGTTTGTCAAGTTGGAAAGGAAATGGAACTTGAAATTTCTTTCCTTACTTTCCCTGGAAGCTAAATTGAAATTCTACTGAGCCTGTCAGTGTTTAAACTTCAATGAAATAGTGAATTACATTTAAAGTTCTATGGAACCTTTAAAATGTACAAGTTCAAGACAAGTACAAGACACTAAGCGACCAAATTGCCCCTTTATCTGGAGATGTGGAAAATTTTGATTAAGGCAATGGGTGTCTCTCGAAGTATGACAGTAGCAAGACGACTTTAAGGTCGTCTTTTATTTTTAATAAAATTTGCTACATTTATTTTTCAACCTAATTTTATAAGTAAAATTCTATAGTTCAAATTTACAGAACACCCATAGCCCTGGCATTTCCAAAATGTGGTCTCATTTTTTTTCTGATTTCAATGTTACTCGAGATATGAATAATTTCGTTCAGATTTCGGCAATTTTTCTTTTCTTCAACAATATTGAAATATGAACAAAAGCCTTTTCTCCAGTAACATTAACAGCAAAACAAAACATTTTGAAAAATGTCAGGACTAGGCGATTTTTGTGATTATTGTTTCAAAATCGTACATGTTCTATTTTATGAGTTTTTTAATAAAATTTTAATAAATAATGTACAGCTTGTTTATTTGTCAGCTGTTGCCTGCCTATGTACATGGAAGGGTAGGAAAGTACAGCTAGACCAAAGACGACCCCTCCTAGAACCAGCAGGACAGGACCAACCAGTCGGCGCAGCACGCCCGACAATCTGAAAGTACATTTTTAAATTAAATAAAACACATTTTTAAATAATAAAAAATATTTGTCTGTGTCCATGGAATCGATTAAAAGAAATTAGCTTTACATTTTTCTTTAATTTTTAATCGAAAATCGTTGCAAGCCGCGTGTGCGATAAAATAACTAATTAATTCAACATTATTGAAAAAATGTGTCTTCTTTATCAATTCAAATATTCTAAATTGATTTTATTAAAGTTTTTTAAAATTCATAATTTGGAAAAAATAAAGAATTTAGTTAGCTTAGTGAAGCCATGAGCCTCCGCTATGCATACATGAGCCTCCCAGATTTGCTAGACAGACCGAGCCTCCGCTATGCAGACCGTGCCTACGCTATGCAGTAAACGAACCTCAACCATACAGCACAGCTTTTTTAAAATCTTGGTTTTTATTTGTTTAACAATTTTTTTTTAACGTTTTAGTGGCATAATAATTTTATGGAAGATTAGAGTTATTTATTGATTGTCATGATTAGAATTATATATGGACTTTTAAAGTGGTTTATAAGATTTATACTAAAACTTTAAACATTTCTTGGAGACATATTTCTGGAGTAAACTTAATTTGTTTTTTTTTTGTAATCTTTGATTTAAGCAATACCTTGTTTAGAAAAATGTTAAGATTTAAATAATTTAAAACAAAATTTTCTTGATTTAATTTGAATTACAAAAAAAGATATTGCTTAAACCCAAGATTAAAATAGATATAATGAAATTCAAATCTTATTCTCTAAATATTTTCCTATTTATGAAAAAATTATGTTTTATATACCACTTTATAAGTCATAATTAGGCACTATTTATGATAACTTATAAATACATCTTATGTTTGAAAAACCTTTTTTTTAAAACTTAAAACACAAGTTTTAAAAAATTTCCTGTATAACACAGGCACATTAAGGTGAATTGCGTATGCTCATTAGTGCATAGCTGAGGCTTGGTCTGCCTAGCAAATCTGGGAGGCACTTGTCTCGCTGTGCCTCGCTGAATTAAACGGACTGAAAATGTAATTTCTATTGGCCCCTGGTTTTTACAGTGCGGCAATTTCGGCCATCTGAATCCCCATAACATTATCCTTAAGCTTATTTTTCTAGCTGAAAATTGAGTGTCTGAAAATAATAACTAGTCAACAATATTCCGTTGACTGGAGGCACTCAATTTCCAGCCTGAAAAATAAAGATAACTCGATCAGTTTTCTTTAATCAGACAATTTTGGTTTCAGAGTAATTATGTTCAATGAAAAATTAAGGTTTTTTTGCTGTAAAATCAGGTTAAATGATTAAAAAACAAACAAAGGTGAGAGAGAACTTAAACTACTTTTCATAAAAACAACTACTACAAAGGCGTATACAGGGAGGTAGTGCCCCCCCTCTAGACCTGTAAAAGGGGGCGCCGTAGCCCATCCCCCTAAAACTCAGAGCTTTCACACTTTTCAAATCTTAAACTGAAGAGTGAAGAACAAACAAAAAAATTAGTTTGCTATTCATTCAGTTCTAAGAAGATTGTGTACGTGAACCAGAGCCACCATGACAGAAGTCCGAATGAAAAATCTATATATAATGCACATCCATCCTAATCGGATGGGCGCTATCAGGGATATCGAAGTAAAACAATTATTTTTGACTGTCAAGCCAAAAAGGCTTGAGTTTAGAGGTATTAAAAAACCATTTAGTGTTATTAATTTGTATTTAATTTACTTTAATCATTGCACCGCCGTTTTGTAATCTTTCTTTTTATTACAAACTTACTGAAGTGCCCGGCGTTGCCCGTGGAATTCAAATAATCGAATTAAAACAAAAAGCTTATAACTTATTTAACTTAGTTTTCTCACTGAAATTCAGCCCATTTGATTCAGTCGTTCGTTCAGCCATACCAAACATTTGATTCAGTCGTTCGTTCAGCCATACCAAAAATTTGATTCAGTCGTTCGGTCAGCCATACCAAACATTTGATTCAGTCGTTCGGTCAGCCATACCAAACATTTGATTCAGTTGTTCGGTCAGCCATACCAAAAATTTGATTCAGTCGTTTGGTCAGCCATACCAAACATTTGATTCAGTTGTTCTGTCAGCCATACCAAACATTTGATTCAGTCGTTCGGTCAGCCATACCAAACATTTGATTCAGTTGTTCGGTCACCCATACCAAACATTTGATTCAGTCGTTCGGTCAGCCATACCAAACATTTGATTCAGTCGTTCGGTCAGCCATACCAAACATTTGATTCAGTTGTTTGGTCAGCCATACCAAACATTTGATTCAGTTGTTTGGTCAGCCATACCAAACATTTGATTCAGTTGTTCGGTCAGCCATACCAAACATTTGATTCAGTTGTTCGGTCAGCCATACCAAACATTTGATTCAGTTGTTCGGTCAGCCATACCAAACATATAAATGAACGAAAAGCTTTATTATATATGATTACAATTGTACTCCTCCTTTTTTTCACAACAGAAACTTTTACAATTCATAATTATTTTCTGGACCTTCGTCATTTGTATATCTCATAGAATTTAAGTTTAAGTTGAGTTTTTCATTTTCAAATGTCTTTGCAGACTCCCATCTCTAGTTTAAATACTAATCACTACTAGAATAACAGTATAATAAAATGTCGATTTTTTAGAAACAATGTTTTTTTTTCTGCCAGTTTTAATTGAAGGAGAGATATAGTAGTGCTTGCAAGGTAATTGGACTGTATGTGTACCTTAAAAGTATCTTATACTTATGCCTGATATATATACAAGAAGCCAAATGTTATGAATTTACAGTTCAAAATTTGCCCCCCCCCACCCTAGGAGCTCCTAAGGGGGGAGGAGGAAATTCGCCCCTCCCCTAGATTTTATTTCTGTTTACGCCCCTGAACTACTTTCATTAAATAGAACCAAATATTTAGAAGGAAAATACTTAAAGTTTGACGAAAATAGATCCATTAAAATAAATTTAATAACGTAGAATAATCCAGCGTAAGAAGATCAGTGTGAGAAAGATGATGAATAAACAAATTTTCCACCATTATTGTTATTATAAACATTTTTTTAGCCATAGCTGGACAAACAGCTACATTTTTTGAGGTAACTACTGGAACATTGGCTAAAAGATTCTATTTTTTCTTCTTCAAAAATCGATTAAAAAAATTAGAATTCTTAATAATTCCACGAGCAACGCCGGGCACTTCAGCTTAGCAGTTAACTTAATTTCTATTTTTATGTCTTTTCCCTAAAATGTTAACACTGCAAAAAATAAATTCCAACGAGCTGATGGAAAATTTCGCTCAAATTATAGAAATTGTAGAAACCAAATGGTACATTATTCAAGATTAACATTGAAGGTCAGATGTTTTTATAATTAATTCGAGTCGGCCTTGAATAATTAGGCATGATATGTTTTGTACATGTACTTAACTTATTTCGTCGGTCGATCTCAAGCTAGGGGAGAGGGGGGGGGGGGCAAACAACTATAGGCCAACCCGGCGTCCTATATATTTGATCAGCCCCCTGACACGTTTTGTCAAAATTTAACAGTCGGTTATCTAAATGTAATACAAACCTAGTTAGTCGACTTTTCATTGTTTTATTCAAGACATTTTGTAAAATTAACTGTAGCGTTCACTGCCATTTAGAATCACAATTGTTACTGATTGTACAAATGTACATTGTGTACTTATAACTTAATATATAATGTACGCAATATATCTTGATATGCGCGACTTCTCGATATATCTGCGTAACATTACGCAACTAGGTTTCACTCGGAACTCTCCCGGCCCGTCAGGACAGCTTTTACGCGCGCCCGGCATGGTCTACTCACTACTCAGATACACAGTTCACACATACACACGCGCAATGGTATCACGATAAGGAAAAATAAAATATGAAACTTAAAAATTATGAACGAAATTCTTAATATCTCCGGTATTATTGACACCACAAAAGAGGCAGACCCCATTTTGGAAATGCCAGAACTAGGCGAATTTGGTGGTTATTAGCTATTGTTTCAAGAATCAGAAAAGGTTGACGGTAGTTGAAATGAACAATAGTTCAAACGGCAGTAGTTCAAATGAGATAGCACCATTTCTGCAAGAAAACTTTTATAAGCTTCGTAAAGACGACTTTTATCGTAGAATTTTAAAAGTTCATGTTGGCATGGTCCGAAAAATGCTATAAATGAAAAAGTAAACATTGTCGCTCTAATACTTTTGAGCACTAAGTCATTAATTTCTTCCTGAAAATATATTATTTTTGTAAATGACTTTGCAGTTTTCGTGAGTGCAGCGATCTGCAGTTTTCGTGTCTGCAGCGATCTGTTGATTATCCCATGGTAATAAATTGCGGTTTTTTGCAATAATTACTTTATAATTTTATTTAGGTATATACTCGCTGAGGCCGACGGGTGAGGGTCGGACGAGGGAGGGAAGGCCAAGCGGCCATGAACCCCTCGGAAAAGTCTCCGAAACCCTGCAGAAACAGTCTCTGAACCCCGTGGAAAATCTCCGAACCCTGTGAGGAGCAAAAATTGTGTTATTCTAGGGGAAATCGGATGATTTTTTGATTTTTTTCAACATATGGCACAGGATCAAACAAAAGTATTACAAATAAATGCAATTTTGATCTTATTCACGGCCCTAGTATATGTTTATTTTGTATTCCTTTTTAAGCTTATTAACTTTAAAATGGACCTACGCAACAACGCACAATGTTTTTAGTATTTCAATGATATTTTTCATGAAAATTCAATAACTAAAACTGGGGCATTTTATACCTACAGCGCAAAACTAGGGCTGGGAAAAGTTCCGTTAAGGGAACGGATGTTTTCAAAAATTAACGGAAGTGTCCGTTAGCGAACGGCAAAAAAGAATATGTTAAAACGTTAACGGAACGGCCATTAGCCGTATTTGAAAAAAATTAAGGACTAAAAACGAAAACGGAACGACGGATTTATTTTTAAAAGGTGAATTTCGATAATATTTTTATCACCTAAAATTGTATTTAACTTAAAAAATTCTTTTTTAAGGGTTTGAATGTCGTCTTCATGGTATAGCTATCATATAATAAACTTATTCATGATATTTTTGTTTGTAACAGCTAGCACATCTACCCGGCTGAAATCACCGACAGTTTTAAAATTCAGATCTAACAACATTTTAGTGTAGATAGCATTTGCAGCATTGTGTCTTCCGACCCGCATTTGTATTCAGATGATTTTTAGATAATACAGAGTGTCCCATATCATATTAGATTTTATCCAAGCTTTTATACTGAAATACACACATAATAATCAAAAACCTAGTATTTTCTGCGGTGGATCCGCATTTGAACTACTGCCGTTTGAACTATGGTACGTTTGAACTATTGTTCGTTTGAACTATTGTTCATTTGAACTACTGACATGAAAACAGTGTATAAACATAACTTAGCATTGTCCTACGAAGCTGATTTTTGCCTGAGAGCTTAAAATCATGCATATTACACGCTATTTACAGTAAATCAATTTTAACTTCATTAATTGCACTTGCACATTTATCCTGATACTCTTGAAAAAAATATGCGCTCAAAAAATTCCCCTCCTAAGCCTTAAATGTCCGCGCGCGCGCAATAAAAGAAAATATCTTTGAATACTTATTATGCTAAGTTTGACCTAAGTCAGAATAAAAGTAGCTTAAGATACATCAAACTATAGCAAAATTGGGACAAGGAACTCATTTCCGTGGTCAAAATAGACATTCGAGCCTTCTGACCGGCGCGCTAGTAGCCGGCAGTTACATTATGGGTCATCTTAGCACAGATTTTACATGTTGTATGTCGAATTATAGGTAATTGGGCATGAAGAATTCATTTTTGGGGTCAAAATAAATATTTGAGCATTCTGGCTGGCGCGCTAGTAGCCGGCAGTTTCATTATGTGTCATCTTAGCACAGATTTTACATGTTGTAGGAGGCTGATTTTTGCATGCTAGCTTAAATTATGTATATTACATGCATTTTTTGGTTTTAAATTTATAAGAGTTGGCTGCTATCGCGCCGGTCAGAATGCAGAATGCTCCAATGTCTAATTTGACCTCAGAAATGTAATCCTTGTTCCAATTTGTCTACAGTTTGATGCATCTCATGCTAGTTTTATTCTAACCTAGCAAAACTTAGCAAATAAATATTCAGAGACATTTTCTTTTATTGCACGCGCGCGCGGACATTTCAGGCTTTGGTATTGAAATTTTTGAGCGTATACTTGTTTCAAGAGTGTCAGGATAAATGTTCAAGTGCAATTAATGAGGTTATGATTGATTTACTGTAAAACAAGTCGTTTTTTTCACAAAAAACGCGCGCGCATTTTTCCTCAGAGGCGTTTAAAACCAAAAAATGCATGTAATATACATGATTTTAAGCTCGCATGCAAAAAAATCAGCCTCCTGCAACATGTAAAATCTGTGCTAAGATAACCCAAAATGAAATTGCCGACTACTAGCGCGCCGGTCAGAATGCTCTAATATTTTTTTGACCCCAGAAATGAATTCCTGATTTTAACAAGAAATTTATTTAATTAAGGACAATAACAAACAATAAAAACCTGCCGTTCATTATTGTAAGGTTGGTGCAGTCATAACAAATCTATATTTTTTCAGGTCGTCATGAAGTCCTAACCTTCGTTGATTTCTCTAGTTGTGGAAATTGAGTTTTGTATTTCATAGATCAGTTTAAACAAAACTGTAGTAACAAAATAAAATATCAAAAATTGAGATAAAAAGTTTATTGCTCAGTGTTCATTTATGGACAATCGAAATGTCAACGGCATTAGGGGTGTCCCACGAAACACATGCCAGTAGCAAGACGAATTGAAAGTCATTTTTGATCTTTAATAATTTACGACATTATTCGTAAACCTTATTTTAGAAGTAAAATTCTAGAGTTTATGATCACAAAATCCCCATAGTCTTGGCAATTTTAAAATGTGCTCTGCCTTTCTGTGCTTTCGATATTACCGGAGATAATAATATTACCGGAGATAATAATATTACCGGAGATAATAATATTACCGGAGATAATAATATTACCGGAGATAATAAGAATTTCGTTGAGATTTCGGCAATAATGGTTTCATATAATACAATTGAAATCTGAACGAAATTCTTAATATCTCCGGTATTATTGACAGCACAAAAGAGGCAGACCCCATTTTGGAAATGCCAGAACTAGGCGAATTTGGTGGTTATTAGCTATTGTTTCAAGAATCAGAAAAGGTTGACGACTTATAAGTTGTCTTGCTACCGTCATGTTTCGTGTTATGTTATGTTATGTTAATTTTAGACAGTCACCAAAATGAATTTACCTACACCACACTGTATTTGTTTTCCCAGGAAATGCTATTTTTTCATTTAAAAATTCCGATAAACCTTCTCTTTATATATTGCATTACACTGCTCCTCGGTTCCCTCAGTCCTCCTCCTACGCATTATACATTATACATTATACCTCTCCATCGCATTATACATTATACATTATACCTCTCCATCGCAAAAGAATTCTTAAAGATTTTTTCTAAAAAGTAAAAAATACAGCGATGACCAGAAAACTCTGATATATGAAGACGACTTAAAGAGTCAAGTTATAACTTTAAAAAATTCAATTAGCAAGAGACACAACACTTGTTCAGAGTAAACAGACTCATTTCACTAAATTTGTAATTCAATAAGTGTCTATAGCAAAAGTGTTTGCTTTGTAAAGTATTTGAATAATATCGCTCCATTGTTTTCTGGTTATCACTCTATGTACTTTTGATCAAAACCTTCTTCTTCTACTTTTTGGTAAATTTTCATTACTTTGACAAGAACTGCTTTTAACATAATCTTGAATAGTTTATAGATTAGCAATAGCGGGGATTAACTCAATATTGTTGTTAAATCCCTCAAGGAATTAAATTTCCATTGTTCTATTTTTTTTGATTAAGCTACAGGGTGTTTTACGAAACATAGCAGAGAGGAGAAAACTAGAAGAACGTCTTAGCTCTTAGATATAATATGCTGCAAGCTGCATTCATTTGTAATCTAATTTTATATTTATAATTCTTGGAACTTTTATCATTCCCCTAATTCAAAAAGTGACCTGAATTTTTTGCTCTCTAAACGACCAAAGATATTAAGAATGTTATCTAGGTTTCCAGATATAAAATTTAAAACCAAAATTGACAATTTTGCACCAAATTCTTTAAAGCTCGGGCAATTTTGAGAAGAAAGACCGACTACGTTTTGAATATGCCAGGTCTAGAAGGTACTTTTTAATGATGTTTAATTCGAGCATTATAATGTATTATAGTGTATTATAATGTATTATAGTGTATTATAATGTATTATAATGTATTATAATGTATTATAATGTATTATAATGTATTATAATGTATTATAATGTATGCCACAATTAGGAGGATATTCAAGTCATCTCTAAACCGTTGTTTCTTCGGACACCCAGCATAAGAACTAAATTCAAATATCTGAAAAAACCCACACTTGAAAAAATGTTTTATTTACGTTAATAGTTTTTAGTTCAATCGATACTAATTTTCATGCAGGCCCGTAGCCAGGATTTTCAGAAAGGGGGGGGGGGTGGTGCTAAGAGGGGTTATGGGCCCAGAATCACCGAGGGAACGAGGCGGTGGCAGGCAAAAGCCAGCATAGGAAATTTGTGTAGATTTGGTATGAAAACTAATAATTTTACCTTAAATCTATTGTATGAAGAATATTTTCTAATTTATCAACAACATTAGTAATTTTGACTTGAACTTAATGTTACAGAAAAAAAAATTTTTCTTTGTTTTTGATGTTTTGTACAATGTACATTGTACATGGAACAAAAAAACTTTTTCATAATTTAGTATTACATTCCGAAAGGTTATCGCAAAAAGGGGGTAATCAATATCCTAGTAGTTAACTAATCACGCACCAATACAAGAACAAAATAGTTGAACATTTCTATTAAAAGTGAAACAAATCTAAGAAACAAAGTTATATAAAACAATGAACTATAGCGAATATGCTACTACAGTGTCCACAGGTTCTCTTCTCCATCCTAGTTCCACAGGGTTGGGTCTCCGTCCCTGTGATCTTTGTTGCATCCCGCGGCTGTCGATCCACAGTTCGGGTTTCAATTTAAATCTCTACACACCATGAGCAATGATCATTTAGTGCAAACAACTTCCTAGATCATAAACATTTCCCAACCAAAAACTGTCAGTTTTAAACACTTCCCAATCAATAATATTCATTTTAAACAACTTCGAAAACCAGAAAAATTTGTCTAAAACACTTTCTAACCAATAATATTCAATTCAATTCAATTCTGAATTTTCGTAGTTGGGAAGTGGACTAAACATGTTCTAGATTGGGAGGTGGTTTAAACTGAATGCTCTTGGTTGGCAAGGGATTAACACTAAATGTATTAGAGTTGAAAGTGGTTAAAACTAAATATTCTAGCTTGGTGAGTGGTTTAAATTGAATGTGTCTGGTTTGTGAAGTTGTTTAAACTAAATATTATTGATTTTGATTGGGAAGTGATTGAAACTGAATGTTTTAGGTTGGGGACATGGGTTTAAATTCAAAGTGTCCTAACCACTTATCAAAATATACTTTGTTGAATTATGATAATAAGCCCCTTTTGTAAAAATACAAAATAATGATAATTGTTTCATGCTGTAAAGAAAAATTCGCTATTAATAAGATTGCATCCGTATAGGTTTACATTCTAACACTTCGACCCTGGTTTTAGGGTTGGAATGTAAATATGAGGGATTAAAAAGTGTGATAATTTTGTTTAAAAGTTTGAAAAAAACATTTCCAACTAATTTTAGAGCTGATATGTTTTTATACACAATTTATGTATATTTTATCATTAGTGACTAAGTTGGAACTAATCTAAAACTGATAATGGAAACTGATGGAGACTGGATTGATTAATATTTATTTATTCAAAGAATCAAATAATTCATTAATAAATTAATCATTTAATACAAAAATAACAAGATAAAAAGTAATGACTATGGTATAATCAATAGCAATTATTTTTATCTTAACAAACTCAGAAGGATCATTTGATCATTAGTTTAAAAATTGAGTAGAAAAAGATGATAGGAGTTTTTGAATCGAATGTAAAGAGCTTTTAAATAGGATATAAATGGTTTAGAATAATTAAAAATTATATTATTGATTGATTGATGTTTTCCATAGTTTGACTAGGTGTAAAATACAAAGATTCATCTCGACTCAGTTCTCTGAAATTATAAAAATCATTGTTTTAGATTTTGATTGCTATCTTAGTTGACCAAAAACACCAGAAAGATAATTTTTTTCCATCTAAATGACTACGGTGAATTTGTCAAAACCTAATTTTTCAGGTGTTAAATATTGAACAGTGCTTAGATTCCATTTAATTTTAGGATCCTAAGTAAAAATGGGCGCCGGAATCAAGTCTAGAACATTCTTTTGAGATTCAGTGATTTGTTTTATCAAATAAATGTTTTTTCTTTATTTGGCTTATTCTTATTATTCGGATTATAACGGAAAAAATTATTCAATACACAAAATTTACTTAATATCGATGTGAGCTTTCCGAAACAAATGCGCTTAGAAAGTAAGTTAAATGATAAAAAAGAAATTCTTGGTGATCTTGCAGAAAATAATTAAAACTCTACCACCTTTTCGATGGTTCTACATATTAAAGAGCTTACGTGTTATTTCCAGGCATTTCACTTGGGTTCTTCTCTTTTTGGGATGAAGACTTCTTTGTTGTCCTGCCCTTGGGTGCTCTGTCCTCAAGGAAGGCCTCAAGGACGTCCTCGTCCTCGCTGAGATTTACAGACTCCAGGGGAACCTCTACACCGCGGACCAAGGGTACTAAACAACCTCCATGAGAAACTAATTATTGGTATTAATTTATTTTCAAAGCTATTGATTCAAGGGCATGTTGCAGGTCGCTGTAATCAAAGGCATGTTGCAGGTGGCTGTATTCAAGGGCATGCTGCAGGTCGCTGTATTCAAGGGCATGTTGCAGGTGGCTGTATTCAAGGGCATGTTGCAGGTCGCTGTATTCAAGGGCATGTTGCAGGACGCTGTATCCAAAGACATGTTGCAGGTCGCTGTATTAAAAGGCATGTTGCAGGTGGCTGTATTCAAGGGCATGTTGCAGGTCGCTGTATTCAAGGGCATGTTGCAGGTTGCTGTAACCAGAGACATGTTGCAGGTCGCTGTATTCAAGGGCATGTTTCAAGTTCGCTGTATTCAAGTGCATGTTGCAGGTCGCTGTATTCAAGGGCATGTTGCAGGTCAATGTATTCAAGGGCATGTTGCAGTTTGATGTATTCAAGGGCATATTGCAGGTGGCTGTATTCAAGGGCATATTGCAGGTCGATGAATTCAAGGGCATATTTCAGGTCGCTATATTCAAGAGCATGTTGCAGGTCGCTGTATTCAAGGGCATGTTGCAGGTCGCTGTATTCAAGGAAATGTTGCAGGTCGCTGTATTCAAGGGCATATTTCAGGTCGTGTATTCAAGGGCATGTTGCAGGTCGATGTATTAAAGAGCATGTTGCAGGTTGATGTATTCAAGGGCATGATGCAGGTCGCTGTATTCAAGGGCATATTGCATGTCGCTGTATTCAAGGGCATATTTCAGGTCGATGTATTCAAGGGCATGTTGCAGGTCGATGTATTCAAGGGCATGTTACAAGTTGATGTATTCAAGGGCATGTTTGCAGGTCGCTCTATTCAAGGGCATGTTTGCAGGTCGCTCTATTCAAGGGCATGTTGCAGGTGATGTATTTTCAAAAGTAGGGCATGTCCGATTCACAACAACACCATGATAAACAATTTCGTAATTTTTCTAGGTTGAAAGTTTTCCATTTATCCATTGTTTATCTATCAGAAATCCGCTAGTCACTCGATTTAGAGAAAAAGAAGAATAACAAAAATAATCAATTTTTTTAAAAGTTGATATGTAACTTAGGGTAACAATGAGAATAGGATGTCCCTCTATAATTGGAGGGTAGCTTGAAATTGTGTTACCAGTCCCTTTAAAACCAAAACTAAAAATTTTGTTGTTGTTAATTTCAATATTCTCATCAACGTTTGCATTCCGCAGTATTAAGATAAAGTAATAAATCGTGAAATAAGGTAAATATTTTTGTTGTGGGGGGGATTATTTTTCCATAATCATAATTTTAATCTAATAGATCGTGCCATCAGTTTATCAAAAATCTAATACATTTGTTCTATTTATGATTTAATACTTTTATTTTTGTTTTTAACCTAGTAGGGTACAGGGCGGTAAAAAGTCCGGTCTATGTAAAAAAATCAAATATAGCTTTTGTGTGACTAAAGGTAAATAACTAAACTATATGGATGTTGAAACATGTGTCACACTTAAATATTGGTTAAAAACATATTTTTTACCCTTTTTTGCCATTTGTTTTAACCCTCCCTAGCACCCAAACTATATCAGTCTATTTTTTTCAATGGACTGGTCTTGAAAAATTGGGCTATGAACATTCATTTAAACACTGTACCTATTCTCTAAGGCCTTTTGTCTAGGTGGGGGGGGGGGGGGGTCCCCAGGCTATACAAAAATTCAGACCCTCCAGTATTTATAGAGTTAAGGGTAATAATAGTGAAATTTAAAATTACACAAGTTAACAAACTTAATTTGATTTTTGGAAGTTAATGAATAACCTGGAAAGTAGCAAACAATCAGTTGAATCAGTTGAAACCTTTTAATATAGAAATTTATCAAAAATCTAATACATTTGTTCTATTTATGATTTAATACTTTTATTTTTGTTTTTAACCTAGTAGGGTACAGGGCGGTAAAAAGTCCGGTCTATGTAAAAAAATCAAATATAGCTTTTGTGTGACTAAAGGTAAATAACTAAACTATATGGATGTTGAAACATGTGTCACACTTAAATATTGGTTAAAAACATATTTTTTACCCTTTTTTGCCATTTGTTTTAACCCTCCCTAGCACCCAAACTATATCAGTCTATTTTTTTCAATGGACTGGTCTTGAAAAATTGGGCTATGAACATTCATTTAAACACTGTACCTATTCTCTAAGGCCTTTTGTCTAGGTGGGGGGGGGGGGGGGTCCCCAGGCTATACAAAAATTCAGACCCTCCAGTATTTATAGAGTTAAGGGTAATAATAGTGAAATTTAAAATTACACAAGTTAACAAACTTAATTTGATTTTTGATAGTTAATGAATAACCTGGAAAGTAGCAAACAATCAGTTGAATCAGTTGAAACCTTTTAATATAGAACTGTGTATTATGATATACGAAAATGGCAGACCACATTTTAAAATTACTATAAATTTTCAAAATAAACGGTTCTTTAATAGAATCATTAGAATCTCTAATTAAACAAGGATAAAAAATTCATTTCCATCATCCCATATTTCTTGGAACACCCTCTCCAGTACCTTCTAGAAACCCTGTCCTTTGGAACTGTTCCAAGTCCTCCTGGAACTTCTGTTGGAACACTATCTGACGTTCCTTATTCCTTGCTTCTTCTTGTACAGCCGCCGTTGCCAATCTAAAGGACATTTTAATTTTTTAACCGAATAATAATATTCTGTACAGCACTAACTTTTTAATGTAAAACAATGAGCATTTCACAAAATATAGCCCTTTTAATGGACGCTTTTTGGTGTTAAGCTCAAGCATGATATTAAAAATATCTTGTAACTGGTATTAATGTTAGTTGGACGTCTCGCAAAACCATACTTTACTTTAAAACATTTCTAGACATGCAAGTTATTTGATGATCGAGGATAGAAATTAGAGTTTAGTCATGCCAGACCAATGCAACTATAGGGTGGCCAAAACTTTTTTGAAAAAATCCGTACATTTTCAGAAAAATCCGTACAATTTTCGAAAAAAACCGTACAGTCCGTACATTTTTTTGAAAAAATCAGTACATTTTTTAAAAATCCGTACAATCAGTACAATTTTCGAAAAAAATCCCTACAATCGCTACACCATATTCTAAACTGGGTCTGCCACACTATATTATAAACTGGGTCTGCTAAACCATATTCTAAACTGGGTCTGCCACACCATATTATAAACTGGGTCTGCTACACCATATTCTAAACTGGGTCTGCTACACCATATTCTAAACTGGGTTTGCTACACCATATTCTAAACTGGGTCTGCTACACCATATTCTAAACTGGGTCTGCTACACCATATTCTAAGCTGGGTCTGCCACACTATATTCTAAACTGGATCTGCTTAACCATATTTTAAACTGGGTCTTCCACACTAAAATTCTAAGCTGGGTCTGCTACACCATATTCTAAACTGGGTCTGCTTCACTATATTCTAAACTGGGTCTGATACATACACCATATTCTAAACTGGGTCTGCAAAACCATATTCTAAACCGGGTCTGCAAAACCATATTCTAAACTGGGTCTGCTACACCATATTATAAATTGGGTCCGCTACACCATATTCTAAACTGGGTCTGCTACACCATATTCTAAACTGGGTCTGCTAAACCGTATTCTAAACTGGGTCTGCAAAACCTATTCTAAGCTTGGTCTGCCACACTATATTCTAAACTGGGTCTGCCACGCTATATTCTAAACTGGGTCTACCACACCATATTCTAAGCTGGGTCTGCCACACTATATTCTAAACTGGATCTGCTACAAATTGGGTCCGCTACACAATATTCTAAACTGGGTCTGCTAAACCATATTCTAAACTGGCTCTGCAAAACCATATTCTAAGCTGGGTCTGCCACACAATATTCTAAACTGGGTCTGCAAAACCATATTCTAAGCTGGGTCTGCTACACCATATTCTAAGCTGGGTCTGCCACACTATATTCTATACTGGGTCTGCAAAACCATATTCTAAGCTGGGTCTGCCACACTATATTCTAAACTGGGTCTGCTACACCATATTCTAAACTTGATCTTCCACACTAAAATTCTAAACTGGGTCTGCTCAAATAAACACTTCTGGAACATATTCTGAAATAAACACTTCTGGGACATATCTCGAAAATGATTAATGAATTTTGATTGGCGATTGAAACATTAATCAATCTAATATTATTTAGAATGCAGAAAATAAGTTAAACTAACTTCATTTTGACGAGAATTTTTTTAAAAATTTATATGAAAAATTTGCTAAAATGAGTGAAAAATAAAAAAACAGTGTATTTCCAGGATAAAAATTTGTACAATCTGTACATGTTGAAAAAAAAAATAACATTGGATTATAAAAAATTGCGAAGAAAGTTTAGATTTTACTATTAAAGGAATGTTTTCTTAAAAAAGACGACGACATTTAACTCTACCTGGCATCTCTCTGTTTAACAAGGTTGAATTCAAGACTTTGTAATTCCTGGATACGTGTAGACTCATATAAAGATAACTCAAACCTAATCAAATACACAGTCAAACATATAAAAAATTGGTTTCACTTTTAGTCATATATTCCGGATTTTAAAGACATGAACAACCAAAAAACCTAAAATAATTCATTTTCATCATAAGTTCCGGGCGCCTCGGCTAAAACAGCTAAATTGGGGCCTAGCACTGAGACTAAGACAGATGAGGAAAATTAGGGGCTAATCTTAATTAAAAAAAATTAACTTCCAAAAAAATGCTTATTTTATTCTTGACATTTCAATGAGGAGTTAATTTTTGAATGAGTGTTAATTTAGATTATTACAGATGGAGGAATGATGGGGTGAAGAAGGATACCGGATTGGATAATTTTACATGTTCACTGGTTAGAAGCCATTCTCAGAATTAAACTTAATGAAATTACATACATTTTATATTTTATTTCTAAAATGGTATTTTATCTTAATGCTGGCATGCCAGATTTACAACTGTCTCCTTGAAACCTTATATAATCTTGTTGACGGAAAACAGCAACACGCTAGACAAATCAGGATAATAGGCCGGTTAGGATTCTGGTGGGGGATGTTTATTTTCGCCGGACAATTCTTTCCCGATAGGCCGCACAAATACACACAACAGAGTAACCCCGTCTCAGAAATTCGATAACAAAATCTTTATTTCCTAAAAAATAACATAAATTATAGGTCATGGTTACTTGTACAATGTTATAATGAATATTAATAGTAGAAAAAATCTTACAAATTATTAGGGTGTGATCAGGGGAGACTTATTGTTGATCAGTATTGAAATACGTTTTTTAACTTCTGAAAAATTACAGTTGGATATTTAACGAAATTCACTAATGCTTCTTATGAAAATATTTTGCTTAACTTTAATGATTTCACAATAACGAAAATATTTTAAGCTCCGTGTGGTGGAGTACAAAGGGAATTGCGGGCTGAAAGTTTGGTTTGGCTGTCTCCGAGAGGAGATTCAAGTTGAAGACGACATTTTCCAGAGGTCTTAAATTAATGGTTAACACTGGCCCAGGCAGGGTTTGAGGATGTTATGGTAACATACGAGAATGAAAACATAACCATTAATTTGTTTACAACATTTAGTTTGACTGAGTGATAGGTACTAGATAGATTGATTGAAATAAACAGAAGAATTATTATGAGGTACATAAATTAATACTGTGTTAAATAATCAAATGGTTGAAGAGATTAAACAGTGAAGTAAAATTGAGACCGAGTTGCACATTTTCCTGTGCTTATCTGATAAAGTTATTTAAGGAATAATCAAAGAAAAGATAAATTGATGAAGAAATTGAGAATGGATTCCAAATATAAATTAAAATGAAATGATTTTAATGAAGGGTTTAATGAGATTAGAAGATCATTATTTTTGTTTCAATGGAAATGAGAGTAATTGTGTCAAATTCAAGAATCGTAAATTTATCAAGGGAAACTTAAGTAATTTGAATTGAAATATTTTCTCGTTTGTTTTTTTAATGGGAAAAGAAAATAAAAGGAAATTAAATATTTAAATAGTTGATTCCTGTGTTGACATTTGTATTAGTTCTATTGATCGATTTCNAATTCTTTCCCGATAGGCCGCACAAATACACACAACAGAGTAACCCCGTCTCAGAAATTCGATAACAAAATCTTTATTTCCTAAAAAATAACATAAATTATAGGTCATGGTTACTTGTACAATGTTATAATGAATATTAATAGTAGAAAAAATCTTATGAATTATTAGGGTGTGATCGGGGGAGACTTATTGTTGATCAGTATTGAAATACGTTTTTTAACTTCTGAAAAATTACAGTTGGATATTTAACGAAATTCACTAATGCTTCTTATGAAAATATTTTGCTTAACTTTAATGATTTCACAATAACGAAAATATTTTAAGCTCCGTGGGGTGGAGTACAAAGGGAATTGTGGGCTGAAAGTTTGGTTTGGCTGTCTCCGAGAGGAGATTCAAGTTGAAGACGACATTTTCCAGAGGTCTTAAATTAATGGTTAACAAATCTATAATGTGGAGGATAACGTTTTTTTTTCTAGCCTGACAAGTAATCAATTCTGAAAATTCATCCATTGTTATCCTGCAGCAGCAATGTAGAGAAATCAAAATTGAAAAAAATCAGTTTTCAAAAATATAAATAAATAATTAATTCTTCATCAGACAAGGCTATGAAGGGTACGGTTGTAAATCGGACATGACACTCTATAAATAAAAGGCCACTTAGAATTACGCTTTTTGAACCTTTTCAACAGATAATCTCTTCTATTTATATTGGCAACCTTTTAGATTTTGTCATCCAAGTATTGATTTAGGGTTGGATTGGAAGCAATGTAATGGGGGGCCGAATGGCGTGTTTGTAAAACAATTAAAAATCTATAAAATATCTTTTAATGAAGAATAGATTCAAACCTTTGTTTGTTTTGTCTCTCTTGCATATCCCGAGCATCAAGTGTTTCTTCCAGGGTTAACAGGGCTTAATAAATACATAGATAGATATACAGATATATATAAATATATAGATAGATATCATTTTTTAGATAGATATATAACTATTTACATATAGAATGATACAAAGACACATAATTGGGTAGTTAGTTAAGATAATTATAAGAATAATTATAAATAAATAAGTTAAGATAATTCAGATAATTATAAAAATAGGAGGTTGGATAGATAGAGATAGATGAAAAGATATATAGATAGATATAGGAGGATCTTGAAGGATAGAAACAAAGGTAAATTGATAGAAATGTTTAGAAAGCTTTATACAGACAGGTAGGTAGGTTGGTAGACATAGAGAGATATAGATAGGTAGATAACTAGATAGTAGAAAAATATATAGCAAGATAGTTTTTATTGATAATATAGGTAAATGAGTAGATAGGTTGCTGGATAGAAAAATAAATTTAAAAAAAATTAAGAAAGTTAGACAGATATTTATTTATTTAAGTACTGCAGTAACTAAAGTGATGACTCTGACCTAGCTCGACATCACTGAACAGGTTTTGAAGGTTGACCAACTCAGCTATTATTCGTTCCACGCCGGTATTCAAATCAGGTATACTTTGCACCAAGGAACTAATCAATCAATCAATAAGACATAAATTGAGCAATTAGCTGAAATTATACCACAATAAATAATAATCAATTAAATAATTAAATATTAATAATATTAACTAACTAACTAATTAACTTATAATCTTAATTAAATACCTAAGCTGAATATTAAAACCAAATAATCAATTTACTAACTGTGAACTAGAAAATTGTATGCTGACTTACTAATAAATTTACTAGCCAAAAAGAATCAAATCATTGTCAAAAAAAATTAATTTACAATTAATCAATTAACAACCAAAATTAACAAGGGACCAAACAAACAATCAATTTATTAATGAAATAATCAAATAAAAAGTAAAATTATTTATTTATTAAGCAAAAATTCATACAAATTTATTAACCAACTAATTAATTAAATAATCAAAAATTCAAAATCTTTGAAGTATCAAAAATAAAAGAACGATCAAATCATGGAATTATAACGTTAGGTCGGGCTATTCGAGAAAAAATGGCTGACCTTAAAAGCGCAACATGCCGCCATTGTTTCTCGTACTCGGCGTGGACCTGGCTCATTACACGGTCACATCTTAAACATTAGTTTACTGAAGATAAAACTCAAACGCAAAACTTTTTATGAGACGCCAATTTAATTAAATATCTAAATCACAACGGACTCTTTGAAGGAGATGTTAAGTAAAAAAGATAGCCTTGTTTTGCTCTTTGAAATCTGATCATTTTTAATTCAGGTTTCTCTACACAGCAACTTGTGCATTTGGCTCAGATTAATTATTCTCTTTTATTGTTTAATTGTTCTGAAATAATTAAACCATCCTCCATATATATTTTGTATTTTATGGTTGGAGGAAGAAACAATTTTTCGGAATGGAAATTTCTGAAATTTTTCCGGTTTCCATTTCGTGAACCTGAAAAGTTATGGTTGCAATTTAATCAGGAATTATCACGGAGATCAAAATGGAAACGCTAGTAAGCAAATATGAAATGACCGTCTATCTGCACTATATGAAAATATGACTTATTTGTTTATCTGTTTGTTTACAAGCTTTATAATCTACCTGTTTACTAATCTATTTGTCTATTACTTTTGCATTTGTCTACCTGTCAACCTATCTAACTGTCTATCTGTCTACTCTAAATGACTGTCAACCTGTGAACCTGTGTACCTATCTACATATCAACCTGTCAACCTGTCAACCAGGTTATCTGCATTCCTTCTACCTGTCAACCTAACAATCTATATACCTGTCTATCTGTCAACCTATCAATCTATGTACCTGTCTACCTGACAACTTGTCTACCAGTGAAAAAGTTTACTTGTTAACCTGTATACCTGCCTACCTATGTACATGCTTGTCTACCTGTCAAGCTATCAATCTGTATACCTATCTACCTGTCTACCTGTCAACCTATCAATCTATATACCTATCTACCTGTCTACATGTCACCTATCAATATATATACCTGTCTACCTGTAACCTATTAATCTATATATCTATCAATCTATATATCTATCTACCTGTCAACCTACCAATCTATATACCTATCAACCTATCAACCTATCTACCTATCTACCTATTCACCTGTCTCCTGCCAACCTGTTAACCTCTCAATCTAAAAACCTTTCTACATATCTACTTGTCTACCTGTCTACTTTTCAATCTATCTACATATCTAACTATCTACCTGTCTACATATCTACCTGTCTGCTTGTTTAGCAGCTGTCTCAGCACCGCTGTGGATAAGCTGCCAACCTGTCTAAGACAAGTTTAATTAAAATTACTATGTTATTCTATATACATATATATCCCTATCCTACCCCATGGTATTATTTCATATCCCTAGCCTACCCCCTTCGTATTATTTTACATCCCTACCCTACCCCATGGTATCATTTTATATCCCTACCCTACCCCATGGTATTATTTTATATCCCTACCCTACCCCCTGGTATTATTTTATATCTTTACCCTACCCCCTGGTATTATTTATATCCCTACCCTACCCCCTGGTATTATTTTATATCTTTACCCTACCCCCTGGTATTATTTATATCCCTACCCTACCTCCTGGTATTATTTTATATCTTTACCCTACCCCCCGGTATTATTTATATCCCTACCCTACCCCCTGGTATTATTTAATATCTTTACCCTACCCCCTGGTATTATTCTATATCCCTACCCTACCCACTGGTATTATTTTATATATCTACCCTACCCCCTGGTATTATTCTATATCCCTACCCTACCCACTGGTATTATTTTATATATCTACCCTACCCCCTGGTATCATTTATATCCCTACCCAACCCCCTGGTATTATTTTATATCCCTTCCCTACCCCCTGGTATTATTTTATATCCCTTCCCTACCCCCTGGTATTATTTTATATCCCTACCCTACCCCCTGGTATTATTTTATATATTTACCCTACCCCCTGGTAACAAACCTCATATCATTGTCCCAATTGGTTAAATTGGTGTGACTTTCAATGGGGAGCAAAGCTGCATTTGTTATAGTTATATACTTTTTCTAACTTTTTAAAAACTTAGTATGAAGAATTCATGACAAAATTAGACTTTTAAGAAACAACAGAAATTAAAATTCTGGGAAAATAACAAATTTTGGGGAAACAAGACAGAGTTGAAAAATGATTTCTTATTTTTCAACTTTTTTCTCCAAAAATTGTTATATAATATAAAAGTACTAGGCTTTCATCTTCCATTTCAATTGTAAACATTTTCTCTTTGTTACATTGGATAACAAAAACAAAAAACAACATGGATTTTATAAAAAATTTCTTGATTTTCAAAATATAATGAAAAAAGAATTTTGTTAGAGGCTAACTTTTTACATTTTGAGCATCAATAACCTGGTGTCATGTGAGGTCCCACACAAAATTTTGGCCCGATCGGTTCGGCCGTTTTTACGTCTATTGGATACAAACATAGAGAATAGAATATATAGAGAGGAATTAAAAGAATCTCTCGGTATGAATTTTTTCAGTCCCTTTCAGCCTGAAAGTTCAAAGTGTACAAATCATGTAAATGTTCACAAATTATATGCAGTAGAGTACATTAATACAGTATGTTCCCTAGACTATTCATTTCAATTTCGAAATTTTTAAAGCTGTTAAATAAACTTTATAATGGATTAGGTGAATAAAAACATCATTTGATTTATAGTTATAACGGAAAATCANAATAGCATTGATTTGAATTTTATTCAGGTTTATTTAGGGATTTATTCGCTGAATTGAGGAAAATAAAATTTTTGTTTTTTGCTGTTTAAAATTTTCATTAGTTAAAGACCTAATAGAAGACCTGAGATACAGAGAGAACAGGAGATTAGTTAACAACCTAATCCCTGGTTTTAATAGATTTATAGAAGACTAGACCTGAGATACAGAGAGAACAGGAGATTAGTTAACAACCTAATCCCTGGTTTTAATAGATTTATAGAAGACTGAGATACAGAGAGAACAGGAGATTAGTTAACAACCTAATACCTGGTTTTAATAGATTTAAAGAAGACCTGAGATACAGAGAGAACATGAGATTAGTTAACAACCTAATACTGGTGTGTGTAATACATTGTAAAGACCTGAGATACAGAGAGAACAGGAGATTAGTTAACCACCTAATCTCTGGTGTATAATAGATTTATAGAAGACCTGAGATGCAGAGAGAACAGAAGATTATTTAACGACCTAATCACTGGCGTCTAAAATACATTGTAAAGACTTGAGATAGAGAGAACAGGAGATTAGTTAACCACCTAATCATTTGTGTGTATTATATATTTGTAGAATACCTGAGATACTGTGTGAACATGAGATTAGTTAACGACGTAATCCCTGGTTTATAAAAGATCTAAAGAAAACCGAGATACAGAGAGAACAGTCAACGACCTAATCCCTGGTTTTAATAGATTTGAAGAAGACCTGAGATACAGAGAGAACAGGAGATTAGTTAACAACCTAATCCCTCGTGCATAATAGATTTATGGAAGACCTGAGATACAGAGAGAACAGGAGATTAGTTAACAACCTAATCCCTCGTGCATAATAGATTTATGGAAGACCTGAGATACAGAGAGAGCATGAGATTAGTTAACAACCTAATCGCTGTTAAGTGTAATACATTGTAGAAGACCATTGCACTATTCTATGCTAACGTGCCGGACCGTCAACTTTGGAAGAGTTCAGGGCGATGGTTAGGGTTCTGGTAGTTTTTCGGAGCTATCAGCAGATACATAGTAGATAGATAGATACAGGCATGTTACAAATATATGATTGCTGAACTGTTTTCTTCCTATTCCAAAATTACTGTTATATGTTCACGTTTTTGAAATATATCTTAGCTTTTAACCAAAATTACGAAGAAAATAATAAACAAAAGAAAAAAGACCATTTTCAATTTTTTTACGATATTCAACAAATTATTGGGAAAATGTTGAAAAAATTATTTTTTCTTCTTTTCTCAATAATAATTATTTGAATTTATTAGGTTAATTTTCTTACCTTAGATGATCCAACTAACCCCTCCTGAAACCAGCATGAAAAATATAAGCAACAAAAAAAGATTTCTAGAAATGGAGAGGAAACACCAAAATGATTTATTTAGAATAATAAAAATGATATTCAGAAAAAAAAATTCTGTTATAATTCTTTTTAAAATTTTTTTCCATTATCAAAATCTTATGCGTTATAAATCATTATTGTTATCCTTTTAATTACAACGTTTACATTTAAAGAAAGAGTGGATTCACGTCATGTCCGTCAATGNCCCTAAAAATTCAAGAATGTTGTTAATGAACAACTGAGTGAGATACGGCGTAGTAAGACCAAAACAAATCAAGACTGATTCGTAGGAAATAAAACTACACAATTCAGCAATTCTACAACAAATTATTGGTACCGGCCCAGGGAGAAATAGATATTTATGTTTTAAAATGTTAAATGGAACTATTTATGGGACATCAATGAACCCTCTGCTTAAAAAGAGAGCATACCCGATTCTCAATGAAACCCTATCAACCTTTGTCTGGGCCTAAGTTGTAATGCAAGGGAAGTTATTTCAGAGGTGTAGTCATCTTTTGTACTGCAGTGTACTGTCGCTAGGCGATAATGTAAACACAAGACGGATGTTACAGCCTAACATGGAATCCATCTTTCACATAAAAAAATCAATGAAATATTCTGTTCAAAAAAAACTATTATATGTGAATTATCAAAATTTTAAAAATTTAATGCTTTTATCCTTCTCGGATACTAAACGAACACTGATGCATCTATTCTTGTTTAAAAAATTCCACCCTGAGATAACTTCAATATGTACACAGAGTATACGCAACTGCAATTAACTTTCCTTGCATTTATAACCTTGGTCTGAGACAAAAAAAATAAAACATTTTTAGGTTTCTATCTGAAAATTAACATTTTCAACAGCGGTTTCTCTGCGCAGAGTTTTTCATCCAACAGAGGGGATTATAATGAAGAGTTAAACACGTTTGAAGGGACCGTTCATTTATTTGGGTAATTTCACGGTAAACTAATTAGCTTAATAGCTATTCATTTGTATTAGTCTTACTTTTCAAAGATATCTATGACCAGAGAAAAAGTCGATTTATCGTTTTTTTTTAGTAACAACAGTTAATAAAATCTAAAATTATCATATTTCAATGACATCTTGTGTCAGTCATTATATAGTAAAATTTAAAAACTTTTGATTTTAGAATTAGAAATTAACGTTTTTTCGTGTTAAAACATGATTTAACAAATTTACACGTGTATTCAAAGACGACTTTACCTCTCAGACAAAACGGTTCCCAGATTCAATAAATCACGGGGATTTCTGGGGAAAGAACACGTAACGTATCGAACCGTCAAATGTTTAAAATAAGTTATATTTTGAGATTAGACAATCATAAAATATTTTTGAAAACAATTAAAGATAACAATATTAACTATTAGATAATCCTTTGCGCTGGAATTCTGAACTCGGCTTTTTCTCAAGCCACAGTTGTATTAGAAAAGTAGGACTAATACCAATAAGCTAATAGGCTATTTAGTTTACCCTCAAATTAAGCAAATAAGTGAACGGTCCCTTTAATACAGAAAAACGACGATATCTCATATTTGCAAATTATCTTTTTTCCATCTGATAATCTGAGTTCGTTTCCCTTATGTCCATTTGACAGCCCAAATTTTTATTTTGAATAATCTTTTGTGTTTCTTTCTTTTTTTTGTGATTCTTAACAAACATTTTTTATATTTTTTTTTTATCAATTTTGATGGTTATTATATCGTTAGAACGGACGAGGGTCAACCCAGACTGAAATATATTTTCAATAAATGTGGAACTAACATCTACTTTTTTACTCTACAGAGGTTTGGTCCATCACCATCACCGAATTTTAAAGATATCTCATTGCTGTTCGCATAAGTGATCAGTTGTGAATCGGGCATGTAACTCTAAAGTTGGAGAAGCAATACAAACTACGTTCACAGTCCCTTTTTAGTAAAACATGCAAAGAAAAGGTAACTTGCACTGTACTAAGCAAAATTAAAAACTGTAACACTATAGTGCAGAGAGTTTTGAGAGAGTATAGAAAGTAAATAAAATGCGAAAATTGTGTTCAGAAGGATGAACATTTTAAAACAGAATACTATGTGTGTATGTGAAAAGGTCTTGGTAATTGAGTCAATCTAAAAAAATAAAAATAATTTTCTTATTTACAACGCATAAACGCCTGAATACACAATATTAATTAACGTCAGTAATTAATTAACTATGTGATGATGGCATATCATTAAAGAAAAAGCCTTTGTTCTACCCCACCTCCCCAGTCCCCATCCCTCACCAGTCTCCATCTCTCCCCAGTCTCCATCCCTCCCCAGTCTCCATCCCTCCCCGGTCCCCACCTCCCCAGTCACCATCCCTCCCCGAACAAGATATTTTAAATTATAAATTTACGCAGAAAAAGCTTTCTTAAGATTTTCAGAGAAGACACTATCAACTCTTGTATGATTAATCAGAGTTGATTTTGCGAACAGAGCCGGCGATTTAAAAAATTCAAGAAAATACGACTCGGGTCTAAGCTGTTGTTGAGCCTTATTTACGGCTCGGGCTTTCGAATTTAAGTTGCATCTATTTTTCAACAGAATTTAGTTCATAAACCGGTTTAATGTTGTATTTGGCGGATTTTCATAATTGGAATTGGTGCATTCCAGAGCCCGCGATTTAAAAGCTTCGGCTCGAGTCTTAATTCCTTAAACGTAGCTTTAAGACCCAATCTTAGACCCAACTCTGACGACAGCTAGTGGACCAAGGTCGGTTTTATTTTCATTGGGCTTAACTCCTTAAGTCGAGCCTAAGATCTCGCAGCTGTCAATCACGTGACACAAGCTCCACAAGCTGTCGTCAGAGTTGGGTCTTAAAGCTGCGTTTAAGGAATTAAGACTCGAGCCGAAGCTTTTAAATCGCGGGCTCAGGTAACGATAATTGGAATATTTAAATTTTGATTTTAAATAATAATTAAGTCTAAAAATATTTATGAATATCAAACAATGGTTTGAAGGGTTAATAAGACTTGAAGGAATTGCTAACTTAATTAAATATTTTTAACGAGATTCTTTTCTATTGTTGAACATTTTCATAAATTGAGAGCTGTTGAAAAAAGCTTATACACTAGTTTTTAGATACATCGTAATTCCATTTCGTCTGATAATTAATTCGACGGGCAACGCCGGGAACTTCAGCTTCCAGCACGACAAAATTTTCGCTATTGTTGACCTGAAAACCAACCCACCCTCTTTACCTAATAATATAAAGCGCTTATATAAATATCAAATCAAATATCATCGTAATAATACTTGATAGAAACTAATCCTTCCTCCTCGGAGTGGAATATTTAGACATATGTATAGAATAACACAAAAAGTAAATATATTTTATTATTCCTGAAATGTGAAAAACAATTTCTTTTGATATTTGTTCTTCAGAATTTTCCAGAACAACAATATAGGTTTCAGGGGAATATACTTAACTGAGGAATCATACCCCCCCCCCTCTCAAAAGAAATTCGAATCTTCCCCTTACCCCTAAGGGGACACTTATTTCAATTAGAAATTGGAAATGGAAAAGATTCGATTAACATATTTTTTGAAAGATAAAAATTAAATACTTAAATTTTTTAGGTTAACGTTTTTTCATTCAGAAAATACCCCTGACATACTTAGTTTATTTTTCATCTTTAAACATGTCCTACACGAGTAGCAGGCTCAGCGGGAAAACCAAAACTAAGATAAATACCATACTTAACATTATGTCACGGATCATTTTTTGTTTATCTAAAACTAAACAGTATACAATACATAGTGAATGGTGTTTAAAATTCTTATGAAGGAAATGAGCAAGAGAAAAATGATCAGGTTATCCAAGAGTTAAAAAATCATTTTGACTACAGCTGATGTGATTTTAAATGAATCCAATTTAAGAGAGTTTCGGGTCCGATTCACAATTGACTCATTTGACATATACAGGGTGTCCCACGAAACATGACAGTTAGTGAATAGTTTTGAATGTCTTCTTCCAATTATTGTATCGAGTATTACAGACTTTTAGCAGTTTATTTCGTTAAAGACATTTTTTTCTTAAATCTATTTTACTTTGAATCAATTTTACTACAATAAGATCGCCATATAATATTTTTTTTAACATTCTCTTTAATATCAAACAACTTAACTAATTCTGGAAGAGGACATTTTAAATTCTATTCACCAACTGTTATGTTTCGTGGGACACCCTGTATCTGTGTAAAAAGATATTGTTGCTTTCCGGCTTTAAAGGTCTTCAATTTCGACAATTTTTTTTGTCCCTGAAGCACAACTTTATTTTTCATGTTGCCTGAAGAAGGTTGATTTTTTCCTTTAATGAGCCGAGCATTTTTGTTTTCTGAAACAATATTTTCAAATTTAAATTTACAATTTATTGTTAGACGATAGCTTAATGTAATCACAGCTAGGGATGTATTGTATACGTGTACAATTATACAGAAGAAAGGGTGTCCAGTATTTTCTATTTTGAAAAACTCTTGATTTGATGACAATCGTTTTTAATGATTATCTTCAGGGGATGGGGGAGCCCCCCCCCCCTCCTCGACAGTGTAGGGTGAAACAAGTATTTAAACTCGTGGACACCCTTTAACAGAAGGTGGATACAATACAGGGATTAATAGACATATTTTAATTTGAGAGAAAAAGAGAGAAAACAATATGAAATATCAAATAATGATGCGAGTTCTAAATAAACACAATCAACACGACGTTAACTTGTAAATGTTTATGCAATAAACATTGATTGACAGTTAACAATGTTACAAAATTATATGAATTAAGGGCGTTTGGAAAAATTGGAACCTTAATGGATAAGGGTGACTAACATTTAGGGATGTTAAAGTTTTCCTTTTTTTGAAAAACGATCGTTTCGTTATGAAACGATCGTTTTTTCAAAAGCTATCGTTTCAAAAACAATCGTATAAAAAACCGTCTCACAAATCGTTTTTAAAAAAACAATCGTTTTCTATAACGATCGTTTTCTAAAAGTTCAAAATGAGTGGGTCATTTATAAAAACGATTGTTTTCGAAAACGATTAAAAAACGAAACAATAAACGATCGTTTTCAAAAACGATTAACAACCCTACTAACATTATCATTATCGTTTATCAAACCCAGTTTAACCTAAAATGAGCTGCTTAGTACTTATATTAATTTCACGGTCGCAAACCTGGTATAGCCGCGCTATGCTCAGAAGATGTCTTACACACATAACCCAAGACATGTGCTAGAAAAAATCAAAATTTCGAGATTGCACACTTTTGAGATTGAGCCAGAGATTTACAATATTTAGTGACTCATCCTTTCATTTTTCACGTTCTCATCTCATCATACTTTTCAGACATTTATACAACACAAATATTTTCAATAACGATAAGCTTGTACTTAAAATATATTATAATTGAATTCACTGGAAGAGCATGATGAGTATTTAATACAATAAACTTGAGTACTTAGTACTTGTAAGTAAAAATAAAAAATCCTCGAACGTATAGATATAATCCTCCAAAATAGGATTTGTTCTTACTATTCTGTAAATTTATCTCATTCCCTTTGATCTTATTTTCCTTGTTTCTATTTAGTGTGAATTAGTCGAGAGAGAGTCGGGACTTAATCCCCCTGGGGCTTAATTTTTAATCAAGATGTGAAATAGTAGAGGTGGTTAATGTATCTGAGAGTATGGAAATTTCATTAATTAACCCTCGATATGTATTTTATTCAAGGATTTAATATTTCTGCTTTTCTACAGTTTTCTATTTGAAAGGGTTCCATCTACATTTTTTATGTTCAACCTGAATTAACAGCCATTGGTAAATTATTTAAACTAAATTTCGTTAATATGAAATATAAAAATATAGTTATGCAGATTGCAGAACCATTGAAAATATTTCTAGAAATCCTCTATAAAGCCTGCTCTGGAAATTTTAGCGTTGAATACCCATAATCCCAATCTCTTAATCTTGACATCTCCAGTGAGCACTTTTAAATTGTACGCAGCTTTTAATCTCTTGAGTTTAGAAATTCGAAATTTCTCTCTTCTCTCAAAGATTAAGCGCAATATTCCAGATGTTTTCTGATTGTCTGTTAACTTTCCAGACGACACATGGATTAAAAAAAGATCAAGATCAAGCATTCATCTCAATATCCACAAGAGTACCCATCCTTGATCTTAATAAAGATGGGCATCCCCTTTTTATATTGTTTTAAAGCAATTAAGGATCTTGGCATTTAAAAGGCCCCACACAATATCAAAAGAAAATTAGCATATTCTAAAAAGGTATTCTACTGCCTACCAGTTAGCTTTATTGGATTTTACAAAATTTATACTTCAACAATGTTGCAAGTAAAAATTAGTAAAATTGTAATGAATAAAAATAGCTCTCTTTTAAACATACAATTGTGTATAACACGTAAATGCTAAGATATTGGAAAAGCCTCTAAAACTCTTGAAAACGAAAGTTTAAAAATGAATAAAAATCAATGTCCAACATTAGCGCCGGAAAGGCCCAGGGGAAGTTAATCTATTGTTCCCGGTTGAACAATGCACTTAATGAAACTGCAGTATCCAGCAAATAATATTTTTCAGCTCAGTGACAAAGTACACAAAAAAGTGTAAAATGTTCCGGGTTTATTGCAAGAAAGTGACAACTAGTATGGGACCGTGGCATCGTATATCAAATTATTTAACTCTTTCTACAAACAAAATTAGGTTTAAAACGTTATAATTCATCAAGTACGTTATTGCAGATTTGATTTTTCATTCTTCTTGTTATTCATGGAGTCCTCAAATAACTCCTTAAATCTCATAAAACTCCTTTGAACTTCTTTAAGTTCCTGTTTGAGAAGGAAGGGGGTAAGGTCCTCCTTGCTCTTTCCAATGGGTTCCCTGCAAAAAGAAATGTTGGTTCAAAGTATTGTGAAAAAATCCGTAACTTATGTGAAAATTATTTGAGAGTAAAGAAGTTTCTACAACCCCCCCCCCCCCCAAAAAAAAAGTCGTGACCCATTTATGGAGCATTGAAAATTAGCAGTTTGTCCAACGGTTAGATACTGATTCTGAGTGTTCCGCTTTATTTCTGCTTCTTATTGAATGTCGTCTTTATTCTTTGAAATAATTGGCGGCATTTATTTGTAAATCTAATTTTATAAGTACAATTCTTAAGTTAATAATCATAATTATAATCTTCTGGTTATTGTTTCAATAATCATACATGTAAAAGTAGGTTGACGACTGAATGTCACAAATAAATTTAAAGTTCAAAGACGACTTTTAAGTCGTCTTGCTACTGTCATGTTTCGTGGGACACACAGTACAGTGTACAAGAGTCAAAAGTTTGATTGAAAAAGTGGATTTGATTATTAACTCTTTTTTGATTAATTCCAACTTTTTATTAATAAAGTTTTGATTTTGTGTGTAGGAAGTTTATCCTAATATCAATATTGATTCTTTTTCAATGCCGGAGCTGAAAACTTTTGTAATTTGATCTAAGCTTCTTCTTGAACTATTTAATCCATTTTACCCGTAACTCATAATGAGCATTGTTTTGTAATCTGAATAATGAGAGAGATCTGGACTTCATAAAAACTCGTCTCATTATCATTATTACTAGCAAACAACCCATCAATCAATTAAATTTCTTGCCTTATGATTCAAAAAGCATTATATCGGATTAGAGTTTTTATTCATCTGACAATCAAAACTTTACATTGAGGAAAAAAAAATACTGATTGGACTTAATTGAAAAACAAGGAGCATAAACTTTAAAATTCCAAAACTCATTGGGAAAAAATCCTAAGTCGAAACAAAAAATAAGACCAACTTTATTATGAAAAAATCCCAAAGTTTAAAATCTTAAAAAAAATAATCAGCTAATTATTATTATTAATTTTAAAGTAAAACTATATAACCTAAAAAAAGTCAAGCAGGTTTTGTGATTTTTTAGCCGTATTCTCGACATTTTTCACTACAATCTATACCATTTACTATTATAGTGGGTACTTTAATTTAAAGGATATAAGTTTGATTCTCAGTTCTGACGGAAGTACACTAAACAGATTAAAAACAGGAATGGCTGTGTCCAACGAGCTAATTAAACCCAGGCCACCAGGGGGATTTGAACCAATTTATTTTATGAATAAATATAAAATTCAAAAGTTTTCACCTCTGAACCGTTACCTGATTAATATTGACCCCTACATCTGAATCTGAACCGGATCCTGATTAATATTGACCGCTACATCTGAACTGTTACCTGATTAATATTGACCCCTACATCTGAATTTGAACTGTTACCTGATTAATATTGACCCCTACATCTGAATCTGAACTGTTACCTCATTAATATTGACCCCTATATCTGAATCTGAACTGTTACCTGATTAATATTGACCCCTACATCTGAATCTGAACTGTTACCTGATTAATATTGACCCCTACATCTGAATCTGAACTGTTACCTGATTAATGTTGACCCCTACATCTGAATCTGAACTGTTACCTGATTAATATTGACCCCTACATCTGAATCTGAGCCGGATCCTGAAGCTGCCAACTGTATTTGTCCAGACCGCCCTGAGCTACTGGAGGGGGAGTGGGCGGGGAGGTAGGGTTGCTGGGGGGCAGGACCAGACCCTTCAGAGTAGTTGAAAGTCATATAAGTTGAAGGAGGTGGGGCAGGGTTGTATATTGGCCCCAGGTTGGTTGGGACGGGGAAGGTGGGATGGGAAGGAGGATGGTAAGGAGGCGGGGCTGTAGGTGCCCACACACCCGCCTGTGGCGTGGGTAGGGGACCTAATGTGTCTCGATCTGTTTCGGAATTTGTCCCATCAGAATCCTAAAAATAATAAATTCAAAATGTAAAATAAGAATGATCCAAAAATCGATGAGAATTTTGCCGATTACTTCTGATAAACTACGACTGAAAGAAGTGTTTATCTAGGAGTTATAAAATCAAAGTCCACGGTGTTGCGCAACATTTTTATACAGTGCATTTCTAAATAAACCGGATGCGGCATTTAATTAAAGGCATTTGGCAACCTATCTTAAGAAATTATTTTTTGCTTTTAAGAATAAAGATATTAAGAATTTATTAATGAAGACTGTAAGAATGTCTAATTATAAACAAATTAATTCATATCTCCGGTAAATATGAAAGCAAAAATTGGCAGACTACATTTTTGACAAAGCAGCTTTGTGATTATTGTTTCATTAAAAACAATTGGGTTGCCTATAATGAATGCTGCAAACTATTTCTAATGTCAATTACGACTTTAAAGATTTTGATAATGTTTTTAAATATTATTCTGGTTTATTCAGAATTTCAATGTAAAACTGTAAAAAAGGCTGGATCTACTATTAATAACATATAAACAAAATTTAAAAATTTTAAAAGAACTATATTTTTTATCAAGAATATAGACTTGAGATTGTTTTCTTGATAATTTATATTTTACCTTGAGATTGCAATTAGCTAGTGCTGCCGCGATATCTCCGAATGTGTAATAGCACTGCTCAGAAAACGTTGATTTATTCACTGTATGTTTTATAAACCCCGCCTGAAACAAAAATAAAGAATATCAATAATAAAAAATATATATATATTTTTATACATTTAATGATAAGAAAGATTTTAAAATGTATTGTTAATATTAATAATTTGATTCTTTTAGTAAAATATGATATTATTATAAATATTAACAAAATCTTAGCACGACCTAGAAGTTTTAGTTCCAGTTTCTTCGTCAATAAATACATTTTTCATGAAAAACAAAAATGTATTATGCACATACTTTTTCGCCAAGGGGGAAGAGTAAAAATAACAAATCGCAAAATAAATCAGTGTATTATTATTGATAAATAACACTAATATATGTAACTAAGTTGAAAAAAAGAATAAATGGGACGAAACGTGTCTAGCATTGGAAAGATTAGAAAATTTTTTTTTAAATGATTAAAAAAACTAATCATGATCATCTATATATTTTTTAGAGATTTTTCAATCTTTTAAAGACACTAACCTTAAGCATTTGAGTAGCATACTTCTTAGCTTCTCTTCTATCCGTGAATCCTTGAACTTTGCTAAACAACCAGTCTACTACCTCGGAACCTACAGTTTAAATCATCATTAAAGGTTTGACTGTTTAGTAGACGAGATTTTAAATCACCCACCAATTAAAGAATTTATTGCAAGATTCACAATGGTACCATTTACGTCTTTGTCTTAGCAAAATTTAAAGAGTTATCCTTGTTTTTCTAATCGAAAATTGATAATGTTCAAATACAGTTTCTCAGTGAAAGAAGCTTCCCTGTATCTCTTTAAATGGAGGGTCACTTACTTGCACAGTTTTTTTTAGAGGTGTTAACAAATTATTTGCTTTGAATATTGAAACACCCCCCCTCTCCTCTTTCTAGGTCTTAAATATCATGTGTGCCGTGTGCTTGGTAAAACTAGCATATTCTGTCAAAATCGTTCCATTTCGGTTAAAATTTATATCTTGAAAACGTCTTTAAATATATAAAAGGAAATGTACAATGGGGAAAATATACTTCAATGCATCAACATTTGGGAAAAGTTTTCATTAGAAAAGGCTAAACAAAATCACGACTCAAAGTTGATCAATTTGTGAAATTTAAAACACGATTGAGTTATTGATCTATTAATTAAATGATTACCTATAAAAGCCTGATGAATAGTAATTTTTAACCAGAGTCTATCCCGAACCTCAAGCCCTGAATCTTGTCTTTGCATTGCTGAACATATACTCTTCATTCCACTCTGGATAGTTAGTGGACCAGCATAGTACTTTTCCTAGATATAGGATAGTTAGTGGACCATAATGGTTCTTTTCCTAGATATAGGATAGTTAGTAGACCAGCATAGTACTTTTCCTAGATTTAGGATAGTTTGTGGACCAGCATAGTACTTTTCCTAGATATAGAATAGTTAGTGGACCAGCATAGTACTTTTCCTAGATATAGGATAATTAGTGGACCAGCATAGTACTTTTCCTAGATATAGGATAGTTAGTGGACCAGCATAGCACTTTTCCTAGATATAGGATAGTTAGTGGACCAGCATAGTACTTTTCCTAGATATAGGATAGTTAATCGACCATCAAAGTCAAATACCTATAATAAGTACCAACCAACCAACCAATTACCAACCAACCAACCACCCACCCA